AGTAACTTGTAAATCATCTCCAATTGCTGGTCCTCCGAATATAAAGAGTTATGGGAGATTCTGTCTGCTTCAGCGGCCTTATTCAATTTTAACGGTTTGATCTCACGTTCCACTTCTGCGCGTTAGGACCGATCCAAGGAAACGGCCCGGAGAGAAACGTAACCAATGCCCGAAAACGAAAGTGGCAGCTTCCTTAAACTGTTTTGCAACGTGCTCGGCCCAACACTCCTAGAGTTTTAACAAACTGTGGATCGGCTGTCCACCCTCGTCGCGTATGGTTGCGCTAACACCAGGTCTTCTGCTGCCCGTTTCCCTTATCAAGCGGAATAACTTATGATGCTTACCAACGGCAGCGAATATTTCCATTTCAGAAGCACGATGAGACCACCAGGCTTCGCAGTCTCTCTTCAGGCTAGCACGAAGTTTTGCCCTGAGATATTTGCGAATCTCGTTGTATTCGCTTCCAGCCGGAATACGTAGGCGTGCATCCCCAACTTCCAGAGACTGCGTAGAGACTCAATGTCCAGATTGGCAATTTCATTTGCCCCATGAAAACATGCCTGCTGATGGTAACGTCTGACGAATATGCTACCAGTGACCTTCAACGATGTTCAATGGGCGCTTACTCAGCCCGGATGCATGCATACTTTGATGTGCATTCAGTACATCTGACTTCGCCAGTTGGCTGGTGTCTATGCGGTCACAGCGACGTTGGAAACATCCACTGAAACGCACCCGATGGTCAACACACACAAGTGCGTGATCAGAGTCCACGCTCGTACTCCAAATCGAGAGGCAGTTTTTTACTCAGCCTTTTCAGCGGTAACTAATCGCGATGTGATCGATTTGTGTCCATGGCTAGTTCGAGGCTGGTGGGCGCCAAGTCACTCTTCTGCGGGTTCTTTGTCGAACGTTATTGTTCGCGATAAACAAACGAGCATCTTCTCTCAGGTTTAGCAACCACTCACCGTTATCATTACAGGAGCCTACACCATGCTGGCCTCCCAGATGAAGCTCATCAGCGGACAATTTTCCGACTGGAGTGTTCAGGTCACAGTCCAGCACCACAGTATCCGTACTCGTTTTGAAACGAACGAGATCGTTAAGTTGGTGATAGAAATCATCTTTCACGGAATCCGTGCTGCAGTTTGTGGGGGCCTAGGCCGCAATAACAAACAGGCAGCGTTTGTCCCCGCGCTGCTTCGAAGCTCTGAACAATCCAGCCAGTCTAACGGCGCACATCCAGCTGTTGACCGGGTCATCTCCAGCCAGGCGCATTGAGCATGTGCCGCTAGCGTCGCATGTGGGTGATTGCAGGGTAAGCATAGAGTTCGAATCTTTCAGGCGGGTTTCCGATAAACAGCAAATATCGATCAATAGGGTCTCTAGTGTTCGAGCAAGTGCTGCCTGTTTACCAATCTGTAACAAGATGCACACGTTGAAGCATGCCAGTCTTAGCGAGGATCGTTGACTCCAAAGAGAAACGGATGAACTGACGTTGCCTGCTTGTTTAAACGTGGACTTACCGATGCCCTGCGATACGTGTGAGTTGCAACTCAAAGACAGGCGACTATTGAAGCAAGTTGGAAATGGCCGAGAGTGCGAGGGTTGGAAACAGGAGGGTATTGGAGCAGGACTCTACAGATGAAAAAGCGCAAGAGAGGGAATAAGACTGGAATTCTGAAGCAGTAGTATCCGAACCCCTATACACCCTGCTCGATGCAGAAGATGGGGCGCCCGAGCATCAGGTGCTTGTTTGAAGGAAGAGTCATTAAGTTTTATTGCACGCACAGGGTACTGTCAGGTTGTCCAGTCCTAGGGTTCTCAACCAAAGCCTTTGGTTCCAAATTTGACTACAAGGCAGCGGGGTTTTAACACTTTACTGTGAGTCTGTTTTATGACGTAGGGAGCCACCCTCATCCCAACCCCCAACTTGTAGGGTCAGGAGACTAAGTTGGTATGGCCTTTAACAACTGAGTGACTCTGGAGGTGCAAACGGCACCACCCAGCATAGCTCAATGGATCACTGAGGCACACAAACCATCCCACCACGGTAAGGTCCAGTCTCGTCGCTCCATCAGCCGATAAAAACCTTTTGAATTCACTTGGGTTGCCGTTTCCCTGGAAATGGTCAGTTTGCCAAGTTCTCCTTTGTAAGAGTCAACCCATACCTCAAAACCGATGTACTCGCCATTGTTTGCAGAACTTCCATAGTTTCCTTTCCAGCATTCATGCGTGAACCAGATACGTGTCTTTGTTGGACGCGCTACTTCTGTGATGCGCTCACCTTTAAGTGTTGCACAACACGTTTGACCACTTCCTTTTCGTGTATTATAGCGACTGTTGTGGCTACGACATTGAGTCAGCTCAGCTCAAACGCGATTCGAATTTGCGATTTATAGATTTGATCCCAATGTCTGCCCGATCGTGTTGTTTCCTTTATTCACTTTATCAGCTCGATTTTTCATTATTAATACCGAATTTTTCTGTTCACTCAAATGCGCTTTACTTCCAAGATCTAGGCACCCCGATCCAAACATTCGGATGTTCTAAATCTAGGCGAAATATCACACTTGGAGACTAATTCTTTAATTCGCACCAAGAAGCCATCAGCAACTGTCACATTGCACCGTTCTTACTTTTGCTTATCAACGGAAGATTACCTTTGTGGTCTTGTATAGATAACAAACGTTCCATTCGTCGAACAGATGCGGCGGCGGTTCACTTCGAGATTGCAGCTAGTTGCGCGTTGCTTACTTGCTGTTATCCCTTTTTCACAGGTTTTGTAAAACAGAGGCTTTTATCTTGTGCCACATTCTCAGGATTGTTAACACTCGAGTCACCTCATCGTAGCTGAACTGCCAATCATTTGAAGCCAAAGAAAACAGATTTCAATACCAATTGGATGGTATTTGTGAGCCCTAACTCGCTCCAACCGTTGGTCTGATTTCCTACTGGCTCGCTTAGACGACGTTTAGTAAACCGTTTCATGCACTCTGTATGCATGTTTGCGAAATTGACATTCACGCATGGCTGAAAATCATGATATCTTATGGGACGCCGCCCTAAGTCTTAGGTTGAGTAGCATACCGGCAACGCAGTTGGGCGAAATCAGAAAATCCCGCACATTGGGAACTAGTGACAATTTTTTCACTTCATACGCCTTTGGTTTGTCGATTCGCCACCCACTGATTTGTCCACCCTCTTGACTACAATGCTCCACTGGGGCGAGACAAGAGGCAGTGACTTTACTTAGCGGAGAGTCACTTACGTTACGCCGCATTATTGTCAAATGGACATTTGAGGCTTTTTATGAAGGAAACGCTTGTCAGGCGGAAGCTTACCGCACCTTGAAACAATGCAGCCGACTAATTTACTGGAACAGGATAAACTCGGATCACCCAGCTGGCACAATGCGGACGTTGTTCGACAAGCCAGTCCTACGTACAATAATCCATTGTTATTTTTTGAAACTTTTGGAATGCAAACCGGTTTAGTATAGACGTATTGTGGCTACGATCTATATCCTAAAACCTTCCTAAATTATGAAATCCCAGTTGGTTCCAAATTTAATCAGAGATATTGAACTTACTGTTAGGTCTTCAGCGTCTGCGTATCTTGCTCATCTCGGCCAGCTCCATCGAATTCTCTCCACAGCCCATACTGTACGGACTCCACACCCCTTCCTCCGGCCCTTTGTGGTGCTTCGTACCTGATCTGGTGTCGGGTGGCACCAGCGTGTCCCCAACGATGATGTGCGTAGGCGTGTGCTAGGCAGTGATAGCCAAACTAGTTCTTTATAAAAACAAATAAATAAATAAGCGGTTTATTCCCTTCAGGACGTCACGCCATCAAAGGCATGATCATCGTAATGCAGGCACGTGCGATCGGCAATTGCACAAATCATTACAATATAACCAGTAGCATTGGAATTTATGTGTTTATATTGGCATGTAGAAGTATGTGTAAGTAGCCATGTTGAGTTAGTTTGTAAATGTGACTTAATTTCTGATTTTGTTCGCTGGCTTCTTCATCAAATTGGATGACGTTCGTGATGTGGAAATGATCCTCCTGAAAAGGAAGAGGCAGTGACTTTATTTAGTGGCGAGTCACATCCGCCATGTCACGGTGTTGTTAAACGGACACCTGTAGATTTTTATAGAGAGCGCTTTTCAGGCGAAATCCCACCACCTCCTGGAACACTGCCGCCAAATCATTTGCTGGAACGGGATTAACCCGAACCACCCAGCTGGCACCACGGGGACGTTGTTCGGCTGGCCAGCCTGGGCACGTACTACGTATGCCTGGTGACCGCTTACGTAGGAGGGCCTTGTTTAGTCTGCCAGATGTAGGGGGACGCAAGGCTCGAGGAGGACAAAGTTGACTTGGCAACATGAAATGAAGTCACTGACGACCAAACTACGTGCCGTCAGTCCGTCTCGCCTTCCGGACTGAAGTCCACGTGACCCGCTTTGAGCTTGGCTCGAGATTTCACACGGCGTGGCTCGCAGTCGACACCAGGGGCGCGTGTGCTACCGTCTCCTAGTCAGATTGCCTGTTTAAAGTGTGTGTGCTGCTGACTTATCTGCGAGGTAACGGCTGATTATGACGCGTGGCAGTGAAAGCCGCAAGAGATCTGTGTAGCCGATGACACCTTATCTTTTCACTATAGCCAGCTGTTTGTGACGGTATGTTGTCTACACAAGGTGTAGGTGTCTAGACCCTTAATATTTGCTTACGGCGTTAATTTTTTCTAGTAAGTCCTCTTCTCTCCACCTATTATTCTTCATTCCATAGGTCATCATGGTTGTATGGCAGCGAAGCATCAGTTTTAATCCCTGATATACTGCATTTGTTGATGATTATTGTTTTCTATAACCAAATGTACAAACTATGTCAGTCACTAGGTTCAGCAATCTTTAGATTTTGATACTAGTGTTTACTTCTACCATGTGTCATTCCGTTGATATGTCGCTCACACGTGCTTTTTGCTCACCTAGCCCGACCCGCTGTGCCGACTGGTGTCAGTCAACTTTGCCGGTCTTATTTATCCATCGGACCATATTCCCACGCGGTACTTGATACTCCAGGCTTTGGGTGATAAGTAAGTACAATATCCTTGACACCTTGCATTTTCTCACTTAAATGCCAAAGAGTAGCTATCAACCAGTTTTCCGCAAGCTTCCTAATCATCATCTCACAATTTTCACTCTTAACTGACCTTATGCACATGTTTACACAGTGCTCACTTGCATAAATAAGTAAATGACGATGACCTTGGAACTACATGGTAACTGAGGATTCCGATTGGTCAAGAAACATCTCTGCCGAAATTACAGCTTTGATCGCTGCTCGATGCTCTTTTGTCCGTAGGTCTGCGGTTGTCTTTTTAATCATGCCAGTTGATGTTAGAAGCACCACTTCTATGCAAATCTTCATTTATTATGTGATGCCAATTCGAGAGATTTCTGGTTCATCGGTCACTGACAGAATCAGCTGGCCCTTCCAATATGTATTTTATTAGGCTCATGGATTTTTTTTGCTCCTGTTGCATCTATTCAACGATCAGGCTAATCTTGCCCTATATTCGTTCTCACAGCTTTGGATCTATGAAGCGAGCCATTCGATTTTGTTTTCAGAGACCAACACGTTCGTAAAGAGGCATGTATGGCGTTCGAGCAGTTCCTGGATCCCAATATCATACATGATATTGTTTGTGGCCGGGTGAAATTGCCATCCTTTGTGGAGTTTGTTAATCACGTAAGTATAGATCGCTGTCTTTTTTCTCTTAATATTATCATCCATTAGTATTTGCTGCCCTACTATCCAAGCCGAGTGTTTTTTCAACGGATTTCATGTTAGCATCCCATTTTTCTTTTCACCAAATTATCTTCGTATCTTTTTCAGCCGTCATTGATACTTACTGGTGGTGCAGTCCGTCGCCACATATTTCAAACTTGGTCCCGTTTTTTCGACTATTGTTTAATGGTCGCATTACCAAGGATGCTATTACAAACATTATTAAGGTTTACCTTGTTTACTACAGCCTGAGTAACTCAGGCGAACTACGAAGAAATGGAACTTTGGCATGTTCCGATCGTTTGCATACTTCTGACCCATTAAGCTACCTTGGTTGCATTTTCCAAGTGCTTTGAGATCCACTCATACCAAGCTAGTCACCGGCTAAGGATCAGACAAGCTTAGATTGTATGTCCTCCTTTCTCGACACAGCCATAAGAATCAGCCATTACGGGCTATAAGCTCAGCTGGTTTGGTTGTAGGGCATGGAGACCACGGATTGTCTCCGCTTGCAAATTAACGTAGTCATTTTTCACTGGTTCACTACCTTCATCTTCCAGTCAGCTAGCTTCTCGTTACTAAGGTGCAAACATGCCTAGACTCATTTACTCTTGCCCCTGGTCTTAAACCTGTACTTTCCGACGGTCAAAAACTTGCACAACTATTTCCTTTCCCTCTAGAACTGTGTGACTAGTTTCAAGCATAACTTCATGGGATTCTGCAGTCACTCTCCTATGTTTAACTTGCTCCCCACTGCCTTGAGAGTCAAACTTTCGAGTCGAAACCTGGTAGATTCCCTAAAGTATTATTCCAATTAAACCACTGTCTTGTGGGATGTATTCTGGAGTCAATGGCTGGAGACAGGGCATTTCGAGCAAAACGCCTCTCTTGAGATTGACAACCGGGGATATCTTCTGTTCACACTACACTGTGGCCAGTAATCTTTTCTCTTCCTACGTTTCTCTTTCTTCACGGATTCTCTCCTCATGTTTACTAGCCTACTACTGACCCCATGAATCACATTATCAATGAAACTAGATCATCTCTCAAACCAAACAGCCATTCTGCGTTGGATCTTTCAACTTTCGCAGTGTCAGGTGTATGACAATTATTATGATTTTATACTCCTTTGCGTTTGATGTGTGTTTTGCTCCCGAGACACGCTTACAACATGTGACGTACTAATTCGTCTACGCTTATCAGGCGGTTCTGAGCGATACGGCTTGCATGCCTTGCGTCACCGTTGTTGTAATCACTCTCAGTAGACGTGCGGAAGCCTGTCTTCTCGAATGGACCCCATTGAACAACAGCTTTTGTGCCATCTGACGTCGAAGCTCCATCCACGCCAACAATCAGCAGTTGAAATCAGTGCGCCTTTATATCGTTTCTACCTACACACTCTAGCCGAGTGCAGCCGAGCAATTGTGGACGACGGATTCTGCAATCAGCTTTCTTCCTTACTTCGAATGGCCAACATATGAAGCATCGCGATCGTGGTGGGTTGTGACATGAATGCTCAAAGCATTGCCTCAGAGGCTGTTTCGTATTTTATGCTTATCGTACCGATAATTGTGACCACCTTCTACAGCTATACCCTGATCGCGCAACCTCTGTACAAGGAACACCGCTTTCCATCACAAGTTGCCCACATCGATGTATATGATGACCACCGAAAAACAAGCTTGACTCTAATTGTTCGAACCACCATCAGTACAAAATTGCCATTCGATTTGGATCGTCTGTCTCGATTCTTACCATACCATCGCTCTTGTCTGCTTATAACACTTATGTTATCTGCCTTGACGAAATGCTCAACCTCGAAGATGCTGACTAATCAGCTGTATTAACGATCTGCAAAGCTGCTAAATCAGTCTAAATCACAACAGAATTTATCACTGTCGAACGAGACAGGAATACCGAATGCTGACTGGAATCCCTCCCAGGGCACAATGCAAAGAGCACTCGCGTCTGATGTTCTCTTGGCTTGGCGCCTCTGTTTAATGGATGGATAGTTATCGCCTTACCTAATCAATTTGAAGCAAGATAGATGGTTTTACCGAGCTGTCGGTTTCACTGTTACTGCAATACCGTGAAATGTTACCTGACTCAAGCTGGCCCGTAGCCTAAAGGTAACATGCGCGGATTCGAGCCTGCTTAGAGACTGGGTTGCCCTCGCAGAATCCTTATCCCATCTGCGACAGGTAGTGATTGCGCGGCAGCGAAGCATCGGTACTGCGTACCGGCGTACTACTGATGCCTTTACCTGACTAAATGTCTATTCATCGACCGAGCGTGTTAGCAGAAAACGGAGGCTCGTGTAATAGGGAAGGCCAACACTAATGCTGTTCTAACTCCGTTGGAGTGATTCATTTAAGGTTTCCGCGGATGAAACAATGGCTGTGAAACATACATAACCGATTTACTCTTTGTCGCTTCGATTGGGGCGCTGGGCTGAGCACTTTGAAGAGTAATCTAGTCGCGATCTGGCCGAGAGCAATTAAGGCCCTTACTTCGACGTTGGCCTCGGTTAGAGCCTCTCGGCTCCCTGGTTGGAAACCGAAGGACGATGAACACGTTTGGCTGGATACACTTGTTGACATGGTTAAGAGCCGACCTCATTGGCGTTCCTGTTGTGAGTTTCTTTGTCCTCCCCCTTCCCTCTTAGCCTCTCTCTCCAGCCGCGATCTCATTTCTTAGCATAATATAAATTTTGCATGCTAGATTTTTTTGCTGCATAATAGCCGGCTTTCCGGAACGATGCTCATCCGTCACTGATAGCTTAGCTGGCGTACACATGCTGTATGTATTTTCTTTTCTTATGTATCGCGGCACAGTAGCTTAGATGTTTTCCACCTCTGGCTACAGTGTATTTTAATATATCTAATAATATTCTACCCGCCCCGGTGTATAGGAAATTCTGGTTGTGTGATCTGAACCAACCCATGATGTTAACCACCCATCTATCGACGAGAGCTCACACGGACTAGTGCAACCGAAGCAGAATATGTCATTTGGCCCCGTTAAACTTCCAGTTTTGTTGTGAAAAAACAGTAATGATTCGCTACTGATTGCCTCAGCCCTCCAGTTCCACACTATTTGACGCCAGGAGGAAGTGTCCTTTACTTGGCTGTTGTCAGCTATCATTCCCGACGGTAGCTAAGGAACAAATAACTTCTGTGAAAACCAACGTTGTATCGATCTCGTTTTAAAGGTCTCCAAACTACTGACATACTTCGTTCTACTGTGGCTCTTTGTTCCTTGTGAAAAAGCCGGCTCAGCCTTATGGTAACAAACTTGTAATCTGATGACACGGGTTCGAACGTGCGACCGGTGATGGTTATGCGACAGTGAAGCGTCGGTACCGCGTATCGGCTTACTACTTGATGCCTTCCTTTCCCTCGTGAAAAGCGAACCGGTGAAATTGGGAAAGACTTTCGTAACAGATCGTACTTATACTACTACTATTACTACTACTACTATAATAATAATAATAGTTAGCACGGATCATATTTGTACAGGTTGTATCATGCTACTGCATGGATTCTTCGTCTGCGTATGTTTCTGGCAATGTTTTTGGCTCATGGACTTAAGTTTTACCCTAAGGTGGTGGCTACTGGTAGGCTTTGAGAAGATTGCAACCACTAAGAGTTACTTACATTGCTTAACTTTATTGTACCTCACCATTTGCTTTTTTTGAGCCCTCTTGCAACTGGAATATCTTTCCCATGGGAACTAAGTCACCAGTCCTCAGGTGTTCTCTTGGGTGTGGCGCAGTCCCAAGATCATTGGCGCTTCTGTATGAGAAAGAAAAGGAAAAGCGTGAGCAATACATCGACACTTTGCTGCTAAGCGACCATCGCCAGTGCTTGTGGTTTAGGGGTACTACAAGATTGCCCACATCTACGCAACCTCCAGCCGGTAGAGCTTTCGGATTACACGACACCAGCTTTATACTCACCAGTCACTGCATTATCGCCCTTCATTCAGCTTGTTGATGATCTCACCGTTGTCTGTTCCCCTTGAGTCGTCATCGTCATTTTTTGACGTTGGTCAAGGTAACCGGTCTCGTTACATATCGGTGCACGGATTATGTTTCATCACTAGACTTACCTGCGATGTAATTTACATTTTAAGTTGTTTCAGCACTCTACAACCTCTTTTTGTTTTCTGTTTTAAAGGATACTCAGCATTCGAGGAAAAACCCTTTCGTCGAAGTTGAACGCCTAATTCCAGTGAGGATTGCACCTTTTTTCTTTCTCCCGTTTGTCTCCACTCTTGCTCTTGTTGCTTCGGCCCTAGTAAACTTTCGATAATTCAGAAATTTGATATGCTGGTATCAAGTTGTGCAGTTACAGAAACGATGTTTGTCTCCATTTCACCATGGCCTTTTCTGTAGTCCCTTTAGTATTTATGATCAGACTACTTGAAGAACGTTCGTTTTCGCCATGGTTTTTCCCCAGCTCTGTTTTTGATCTACCTCAGCGACAAGATTTGCTTTTTATGCGGGTTGTGCTTCCGCGTATGCAAACAGAAACTAAATCAATCGATGTATTTTTGCAGCATTTTCCAAGTGAGATAATTCTCCATACACCTGGGGAAGCATTGAGTAGTCGTTTCGTCCTATCTCCGTCGCGCAACAAGACTGGACTCGTAAGGATTGCGCATCCCTCGGTTCCGTCAGGGTCCGGACCCACAACTACTAGCGTCATGCGCCACCAGCCATTGTCACTAAGCAATGGGGAGGCGGCGATGTCTTCTTTGATCGATAACAACGACTTCCGGACATGTATCGGTGTGAAATTCTCGGGGAAGGCATTTGTCCATTTGAAATTGTTCCACAATCTGGACTTGCTTCTTCGGTGTGCCCCATATCGTCCGCTCAATTCATTTAGCCTGCTATTATATTAACCTGGACGCACAGTAGGTTCAGCTGCCATTACTAACATTTGTGTTCTGACATATTAGACAGCGCTGGGTTATAAGAAGCGAGAACGGAATCAAGCGCTTGTACCCAGACTTTCGAATTTTTTGATTAGAGGAAACAAAATCTAGTGGACATCCCATTATCACACCAAAAGGTGTTGCCTTACGTGCTCCCATTTGTCCATGAAAACGGATTTTATTTGAGCGATTGCTTTGACCCTGTTTGCCTGTTACGTTGCAAACAACGGATAATGTGTGTCCATTACTTAATCCTGAATCTTCGTATTTTAGTCCTATCATCCGGTCCACTTTCAAAGCGCTAAAATATGCACCTGTTACTATCTCCGTGCACATATTACTGCTTTTCAACATCCTCTCAAACATGTTTTTTTTTTGAAATCTTAGGTAGTTCAGTTTATTCGTCTCTGCCTCTTGGCCACTCGTGGAGCTTTGACGCCTGCCCAGGAAGCTGGACTAACGTATGAAACTGAGGACGAAGTCCGGTACTTGGTCAATCAGACAGTGCGGTATTTCCTGTCCATTGGATCCAACTCCCCTTCCCAGTCTTGCAGTTCAAATGCGAACGCTAGCACTAGCCCTTCCGCATCCCCAAACTCCTCAACTGTAACCACCGCATCAATAAGCCCTGAACAAGCAAAGCGCAGCATCGACACCTACTTCCGACTCATCCAAGTTGTTATTTTCGCCCGCTCCCAACATTCTAAAGAATGTGAGTTTTTCGATTTCAAGCCCCTCAAATATTCAGATCTATGTTCATCGATTGTCTGCTAGTTACCCTTTAATCCTTTGTTGTCTATTCTCCTCTCACTAGCTCCCAATTTTCCCAATTATTTGGAAGAAGTCTTGGTTGGTAACACGAAAGAACTTATTACCTGCAACAAACAACTATTCGATCGAATAAATGTAAGCACTTGTGTTGTTAATTTTTTATGTTTCCATATACGGTTACCGCTTTTTACCATGTGTTGTAAGATGTTAGTTGCGTTGACGGTGTGTATGATTTCCTTCGGAGACTACGGTCTTCAGAGGGAACGATCTCCATTGTTGGGTTTTGGAATCCCGCCGTGTGTTGCGACACAATCCTAACTTTTTGCGCAGTGGTTAGATGTTCATCGTTAGGCTTTGAGGTGCTTGTGTTGGGACCGAGCAACGCTGCACACGTTTCCCAAATGGAATTCCACTTCACCTGAACCGCTACTGGGTGTGATCGCTTCACAACTGGTCTAGATGTCGACTCATGGGAGACTGGAGAGATACTGTGGAGAATAATCATACTCATGCTCAAGCACATAATCTGCAAGATTACCTAAACTCTCTTTTATTGGCTGCAGCACTATTAGTCGTCCATGTTTTCATGTCCTTACAACGCCTTCTTGGACAGTACCCCTTCGTCTGAGCAGTCCAGAACACTTAGTGGTTTTGCCCACATGTCATTCCGTGATATACTATGCTTTCTCCTACTTTGTTCTCATCAAACCCCTGTCTTTGGTTGATGTGATCCTTCGTATGATGTTATGGTTCTTATTTTGACGACCGCTTGTTCATTTAACGAGTTTCACTCACCGCCTTGTCGACAACACTCAATTTGTTGCATCCGCTTGCCGTGATCAGACGTTTAGAATCAGCACGATGTTTGCTCAATTAGTTGTGTTCTTCTCTTTGTCTGTCCTTCACATCCAGTTATCACTCACTGTGTCCACTTGAACCGTTTGCAGAATGTACTTCTGGTTACTCCGAGAGGTGTGAACTGTCGACACGCTTGTGCCTCCGTCTACAGTGTTGTGGTTATGGAGACAGAGCCACCGGCGCAAGCTCTACAGACGGCCAAAAAGATGCTGGCTTCCATACCTTCACCAAGCAGCCATATTGATGGGGAAAATTCGCACGCAGCCCAGGGCATGTTTATGGGTGCAGCCTACCTTCTGGAGCGCCTCTTCTCTCGTTATGTAGCTGTGCAACCAAATGGATCGTCCGCGAGCAAAGAGAATGGAACTGCTTCCCCAGGAATCAGTGCTGGCGCTTGTACGGAGCAGCCCACCAATCCCGGCAATACGCCTTCCAAGAAGGGCAAAAAAGATAAGCAACAACAGGGCCAGCAACAAAAGCAACTGCGAGCTGACATAATCAGCGCAATTGAGCACTTCACAAACCTGATGTGTAAGCGTATCACTTCCCCCTTTGATATGCATTTAATGACCTGAATACATTTGCTTTTTACTGCGGCTGTGCCTCGTTTGGTTGCAAATCAGCTTGCAACGCTCATGTGCATAAACCCGAATGATTCTTATATTCGCGCTGCCCCTTGCGTTTCTGTCTTCGATGGATACGGTTACCGTGATCTATCATCGATCATTCTCTGGTTCTCCTCCTCGGCCTTCTCAACCATCTTCGCATTCCTTGGGCTTATGTATTGGTTCTTTATATACTATTCCGCCACCAGTCCCCTAAATTTTTATACCTTGTCACTGAGATGTGACCCTTTATTCTTACAGAGCCCCTAAATTTCCCATCTTTATTCCGCAAAATCGCGCCTACTTATTCCATTCACTTTTTATGGTTTCAGCTCCGTTTTTAGTGAAACCTAGTTGCCTCTCTTCGTCGAATGATCCAAAGGATAAACGGTCCTCTGATGCCGGCTTTTACAGCAATGCTGCCGTTGCTCAGGCTACTGTGGCTTCCCTATTGGAATCACTGATGATTGTCCTCAGGGCTGGGTGTCTGTCCCATTTACCAGAGGGATCTTTGCCAATCACAGGGAACCCTCCTAATTTGGCCCAATCCAAAGCTGCAATGGTTCACCGTATCGGTTCTTACTTGTCTTTGCCAGTGTCCCCTGCCAGTGGCGAGGTTTCGGGTGCACCGTCTGGGCAACTTCATGTGGTTCTAGCGGCGTTACGTGCTTTGGCTGCTTGTTGTATGGGCGAAGGAATCGAACGCGTGTCCGATTCAAGTGGCAAAACTTCCAAAGATGCATCTGTCTCAGTTTGCTCCCACCCACACACTATTGCCATCATGAAACTGATGACAGACACCACGGAAGTGAGTGGCATTTGTATTCGTATTTATCCCTGTCTCTAGTGTGAGGGATCTTCCGACCCTCTTTTCAGTCCAGATGCTTAAAATCATTTTCCCCGTTATTTAGGCGGTTATAAGAGGACTACTTATATGTATACAGATGATCCTTTCAGTGGAAAAGCAGACTTCACTGGTCATCTGTGTTATTTTGCTTCTGTGAGCTGCAGCGCAAATCGTCTCTCATCGATGATTCCCTATAAATTTGCTTATCTATTTCCTATACTTACTCCCATCGTTTTGCCAACCGCTCTGTTTGTCCCACAATTTGTTGTTTCACTGCCATCCGTTTCTACCACTTTGACGAATGGACCGTTTGCTCAGTGGGCTAATAGTGATCACATGGCAGCGTAGAGTCGATATCTGGTAATGGCGAACTGTTGATGCCTTTACCTTGAGCTGTGGCTAGGCAACCGAACTAAGTTACACCTCAGTTATATTTTTCCACACATTCTTTTCCCGCATTTTTCATTATCAAGCTGTTTGCACTTCAGTCATTCAGTGGTGAACATTTCACTTCTATGCTAATTCTTGACGTACTCGCAGATCATTTTTCGTTTTCTTCAAGGCGTTGATCCCGATTCCTTAGCTTAGATTCCCTGTTTTAGTTCCAGCTCTAGTGTACGCGGGAAAATAACCGATTGTCCAACTGCAATCGTTTTCATTCTAATGATGGGACAGCATACTGCACAAGTTGTGCATTTTTCATTTATTTGCTGAATTGTTCGATAACTTCATCATTAACGTATAGTTTCGGGTTTTGCCAACATTTGCGTTGAATCAAGCGCAGTTCACAGACTAGATTTACTTGAGCAGTCAGTGCCTTTAGCCAAGCAAGGTATCAATCTTCTTTGGGTGTTTTTATCTTTACTGTGCAGAGCAAATCTATCCTGCTTAACGCGCACTGTTTCGCGCGCCACCAGCTTTATTTCATAATTATCCACTGATTGTCTCAGAGGTTTTTGGCACGATGATCCCATTGACACAACTAGTAACTGGGTCCCCAGTTTGCAACTTTCATGTACTACTGTTAACTGCTGCTTGCTTTTATTTTTGTAGATTAGCGACCCAAGCTTGCACCTGGCTGTCGGCGTCTCTCTAGCTGATTGCTTACTCGGTCCTGCCTCCCCGCTAAAAAAGCACTGGTACGAACGTGTGTACCCTCTTGTTGTGGACTCCGATGCAATCGAAGTGGCTGTAGCCAGTCCGGCCGGTATCTGGCTTGCGCGGCATTTGGATGGTCTTCTTTCCCCTCGTACCGGTCAAACGCGTACGCGACCCGCTACCTTATTCGCTGCTCTCTGGACTTTGGCTTTGGTTCGTCGCTTGGGTCCTCTGCCGACTTCTCTCCTGCCTGACCGCCTGATCATTGATCTCTTAGAGGATAAAGATGGTTTGTCACTAATCTTGCCGCTTGGAAAGTTACCATATATCCCCACTTTCATACGTTTTACCTGTGATCAAAATGTCTTGTTACCAGTACTTACGGCCCGCAACATGTTCGAAATTGAATGCAAGTGCCTTCGCCTGAAAAACAAGTCATCTAAATGCTGCCTGATTGTTGAGTAATCAACTCACTATAACGCAGCGGACCCAATTGAAAGACCTATTGATTAAACCACACCTCTACAAAGATCCCTTAGTGATATTTCATCACAATCACTAGCTCAAACGGCTATTTGGGTTAAGCTCAAAGATAAAAGCTCAAAAAGATACTTTATCCAATGTGGCAACTGGGCAGTTTGAGGTGGATCTCCACAGCTCACCTCTTATGATAAGGACCTCGGTCACCACTGTTCCTGACGATACTGCAATGTCACCTAAGCAAACTCCTACTAACTACTACCTCCTTAATCTTGACGCACGTGAACCAACCGAATTGAATTCACCGTTCATAAGTAATAGAGTAACCCCTAAACATTGGGAAGAACTCACTATCAAGGGCCCTGTAGCTGTGTCGCAAACTGAACTCAGTATCCAAAGCACCCCCATGGGCAGTCAATACAATAGTGTAGAAAGCCCACAACCGCTCACCGGATCCAAGAAAAGATTTAGGTCTGTGATGAACACGGTAGAAACTAACAAGACCTACTAAAATACATCGCACAAACAATATATAAAGCGACATCCTGAGCCGACAAAAACCAGAAACAAATGTCTTTTGGATACCCCTCTCCATAATTCCTTTTCATACCACAAAAACAAGCTCAGTAATGATAGAATAAACTATGTCTCGAAGCCAAGGCCACCTCCCATCCCGTCTCATATGTGTGCACTCCTTTCCAACATCCCTCAGTATGACACTTTTTTAGTACAGGAGGGAATGGAGCCGGAATTATTCCCACTGCTTACGTACTTAGCAGAAACCAACTACCTGTTCCCACTGTACCTGCAATTTTTGCAGATGACTCGGCTAGCTAACTGCCCCGCCGATTGCAAATTAGACTTGCTTCCTCACCCACCTCAATGTCCACAGCAATATCGACAATCACAAATGACATATTACCCATATTACCATGCCTGTTAAGAGTACACCCGATCCCAGCACTCCCACTCATATCTCCTTCGTCCATAATATCTGACTACAACAGTGCGTATAACAATGTACCGCAATACGATGACCCACATCCACACTTCTACTTAATGCCAGATCTATTAACAACAAATTGTACTTCCTAGGCATGCTTGCGCACATCAACGACCCACAAGTAATCCTCCTTACTGAAACGTGGTGCTCCCCCGACACATTGGACTCCACCTTAATTATTTTTTAATTATAAACTCTTCCGAAAAGATCGCAGTACAAGCGAAGCAGGTGGATGCATGATATAACTAAACTGTACATTTACAACAGAACTTCTTTAACATCCACAACTAACAAATGTTCTCGAATCTCTTTGGTTGTCCGTCTCAGGAACCGATTCTCACATTTTACTCGGATGTGTTTACAACCCGCCAACTGCGAGTGTTACCATCATCACTTCAGCTTTCGAGTTTACTGCTGAGATGCCACCCAGACAGAAGATAATTGCTGGTGCTCCGAACTGTTAGACAAACATAACCAACAATCTATGCTGATACCAATAGAAGGAAGCTTTTCTGGTTCTTTTTCGGATGTAGAGAAGCCAGTTTGACTGAAAGTTGTCTGATACGAACCATTTCTACTTATGCATCTTACACAGTTTGTAGAGAGGCAACTTAATTTCGTTTACTTTCCGTCACCGCGTTTCTTTCGGGGACGTCTGTCCCTCGTAACTTATTGGGCGCGTCGTTGCTTCCAGCATTCAGCGTCAATTTATGTGTTAGCACGAACCATGGTGCTCTCGCTTTTTGTTTGCAAGTAACTGCCACCGTAAAGGATGTGTTCAATAACTTTGCCTGTTCCCCATGATTTATCTCCGCTGGTGTTCACTGCCAAGATTTTCAGCAAATCTGGTGAACTCGGCCAGTCGAGGCGTTTGGGAAGACCTCAGAGTATGTAGCTTTCGTCTTTCAGTAATACTCTACTCACACTGTATCATCGGACAGCGTTTTGTCTTCTCAGACCCTAACATTACTGCTTCAGGATGAGCTTTATGCTGGCACATTAACGTTACCGTGTTCCCCTCTGCTACGCTGTTACTCGTTTCCTTCTTACTGCATTTCGGCGAAGTTGATGCACCCTTTTTCGAATGTCGGGCTGGGGCTCGAAGGACGATGAACACTTCTGGTTGGATACACTCGTTGATATGGCGAAGAACCGACCTCAATTGTGTTTGTGTTACGAGTTTTATATCTCTACCCCGCTCATTTCACCTCCACTCGAACTACAATCTCATACCTGATTCGTAATATGATATTTAACATTTAATTTTCTTACTTTTTGTGTTTTGTAATATTTAATATATTATCTTTTTGTATTGTGGCACATTAGCTGAGGTGTGTTTCTCACCCTCAGCTATGGTGTATCGATGAAATTGGTGATGATGCACCTTTTCTTGCCGCCGCCGTATTATCCAGAATCCGTGCAATGCGTGGCTGTCGCGACTCTCGGACAAATCTACGATGGGAGCTGCGAGGAAGATCGGGTCGAGTTAGTTGCCAATTTAACGAAAACTATTGCCGGTAACGAGAAACGGTGAGTCCCACAAACCATACTTTGTATTCAGCCTTTATCTACTCTGTCCTATCATACCAGTGTTCAGCAGTCTTCGCTTGTGCCATCGTTGTCATTCATTTCTGATGCTGCACTAGACCAAGCATTATTTATTCTCGAATGTATTCTTTTCTCTCCGTTTGTTTCCTGCAATTCACCACAAGCGTATTCACTGACTCTATCATCACCGACCTTGAGTTCGTCATTGATATACATTCTGTCACCTCTCTTAATGCTCTGGGTATCGGTTGCGTTTGAGGGCCACTCAGTCCGTTGCTTATCCGTTACCTGATCGATTCCAGCATTACGAGCCTGATACTACACCACTTTTTACTTACTTCCACCCATAACGCTTTCAAACTCAGCCTTAAGGAAATAGGTTTCGTCCATACATCTTTCAGAATCCTCCTTAAGGCAATCAAATATCATCCACCTGGCGCGAACGCACCAAAGCATGCCCCTCGTTGGGTGACCAATCCCAAATCAACCAATGGCATATCAGACTAGTTTACGATATGAGTCACCAGAGAAGGTTGAGGGTTGGCGCAGAGCGCGTGCGATTCGGTGGGTGCCTAATCGCGCTCGACACTCGTATTCAGGCATGATTGACTACACTGAAGCTATGCACATGCTAGAGGGTATACTCACAAAACTCACGTGGTGCCATCTGGGCTTAGCAGTCACGAGTGATCATGGTGGTTGACACTTAACCTTTCAGGCATTTCCACTTATACGTGAAATACGATTGCGCGATGGGTCCGGCCATTTCATCGCTGAGCTGTCCGAGGCACCCACGTGAATGAGTGCGAATGAATTCACCCTTGGGAATAATGACATGAAGTCGCTCACACGTATCGTTGTCGATGATCGGCTGGCATGGAAGTTAGGCTAGTGACACCGGAAGGACGTGGAGAGCGTGTGGACCGCATTGTGTTTCGGGGTGTCGCACGCTCACTGAGCGCAATCTTGAAAGGTCCGCGTTTGATGGATGTAGCGATTCGAATCAGGATGAGTGTGCGCGCAGTGCTCCTTGGTATCCTCACCAAGGTTTCGCTCGCCCATTGCCTTTGTTATACCGTTGTTCGACCGAGCTTGCTGCTGGGGAATATTTCATATCCTTGTGTCATGGTTTCCATTGCGGTTTCTAAGACATGTAAATGCCTGAGTGGTTTCTCCAACCGTTCTCACACATGATTTGTAGTGTTGCGAAACAGAATGAATGTGCTGTTTTACCAGGGGTGATGCACACAAACAGAAAAAGGAATTCCGCAACACTCAGGGCGGTTATACTATTCCGCCAGTTTCAAGGAATGATCTCAGTTAGTCGTTATTGCTAAACTGCAGCAAATAGAGGCGAACATGAGTTAGTCAACTCAGAACAATATAATCTTTAGCAGATTGTCATCTAATCAGCAATACCCGTGTTTCCGCCTCTTTTCATATGGCAAATTACGCGTTTCAATGACGTAATTGGAAACCCGACGTGGAGTATACTCCAGATCAGTGACATCGTGCTTCCGTTTTGGTTGCCTTGCTTGAATTGTTCTGCGCGGTGGTTCCCAGCTTGTATTGCCATTTCCGTTTTCTCAGAACAACCGGTCATCCCGAACCAGTGACGTAGGTCACGCTCGACGATAGAGAATTGTAGGGTCTGCGTTTCGAACCCATAGATGTAAAAGCTGTGGCATCGTATGCAGAGTATCTTACACGCGGGTAGTCACCCGCGATATATTATTCTTCCTTGAACCCAATAGATTTGCGCAGTTCGTGTGCATCCATCAGTTTTGTGCACGCAAGCTACTCAACTCTGACGTACTTATAAGAAACCGTGATGGCTAAACGCTTCCGTGCACCGTACACTACGAAGCAACCTAAGGAGGACAACACATTAATCAGACCACCTGGTTGTCGTGTACCACGCATATCTGGGAATATATCATTTGTTTGTTTCCATTTTGCAATAGATTCATTTTTTCTACTTCGTTTGTTGCGTGCTACTCCGCCTCGTGAAAACGTTTTTGAAAGGGCCAGGAGAATTTACAGTCTGTACTCACTAAATACTGAATAAAATTGTTTATACAACAAAATACTTTGCAATAGATGTCCTGAGAAAATCATCCATGTTCACGGCAAATTCTGAAAAAGAAAAGCTGTCAATTCTTACGGTCACGAGAATGATTGTTTTCATGTTTCTATCGCTCAAAGAGCATAATGTCGCGAGGGGTGCTTGACAGTAAATCAGGTCTACCGTATCGCGGAAATACATGACCACTTGAGCACAACACATCTACACCCCCCAAAATGTGTTGTCATCCAGAACTGCCAGAGTACATTGCCAGACAGTTCCGCCTCCGTGATATGGCAAAGTTCATCGGTTCAGCTGATTCAAGGGATGGCTGCTCATTTCATAATGTAATTAAAGCCATCCCAGTGGCAACAACCTTAAGTGGACCAAATGACGCACAGGACCTTCGCCTCGTCCATCCCCAAGCATCAAATGAAGCCCCGCTGAATTCGTTCAAGTCGTTGCGTAGCCACAGTGGAAAAAGGACTTGCCATCAGTGAGATTTTGATGAGAAGAACGATTTGTCAGGTGCTCTGCGCACACAAACAACGGATGCAACTGGCAAGAATACTCTGTTCCTGATTGCGCAATATCCACAACTCACCAGTGGGCTTACTTGTGCCACTAGGGCATCCACTTAGTTAACTGCTTTGTGGAAACACAAGCACATCGTTACGGTAGCCCTCTCCAAGGGTTTATGTAGTGGTTTAAAGGGACTCAATATTTTGCATGACAAGTTTCGCACATACCGTTTAGGAGGACCTGATGGCATGGAATTTTGGATAGTGGCGCCTGAGAAGTGGGGACAATGTGTGGACCGGTGCGTTTCAGAGTGCGGCATGCGCACCAAGCGAAATGTTGATTGGTTTGCGTTTGATTGATGTAGCCACCCGAATCAGAGTGAGTTCGCGCGCTGTGCCAACACCTGATGAATCGTCGTTATCAACAAAGCCTCATTGATGGCAAGCAGTGTCCGACTTTGGTTACGTAACAGCAACTTGAACGTATTCACATTTATTGCCGTCCCATCTCGACCTGAGTCCATTTGAGTAATAATAATTACTTATAGGGTAAATGTAGAAAAGTTCTTATGTCAATAATGAATGTTTTGGGAAACTGAATATCTGTGTAACCCTAACACGCGATTTTGTGCCTGGACATTTAACATCCACGGGTTTAACAAATTACACTTTTGATGCACCGATCGTCAAGCTTACTTGGGCTACTTGTAATCTAAAGAGTTGGTCGATATCAAGAGCTAAACTACGATGTCATTGCAGAATTTTCACATTACATTTATTGCATTCGTTTCGATATAAATGCACACCCATCTAATTGCTTTGTTGCCGGCTCTCACTTTTTCATGCGATTTCTTTGACTCCTCGTCCTTCTCAATGCATTTAAGGTTACTACCTTGACGGCTAATCGTTTCATTCCCGTAATTCCACTCTGGGTAACGTTTAATGTGAACTCAAGACTCACAGTTGATAAACCCTACTTTGATGTGGACACATTTGCTTTATTTCAATGAACAAAATAAGATCAATCACCTTTGCAGATCTATTGGTCCATTTCCGTCTTCCCGTAACTCCATCGAAACGTTTCACTCACTAGTCTACTACTGGTCGCCTCATTCATTCCAATGGGTTGTCTGTGCAAACGTTGCTTAAGCAAGCTTCTGTTGATACCGGATCGTCATTACCATACTCTTCTTCCTTTGATCAGCTGCACTGTATTCATTTCCACCTCTATCTGTCTTCCAATCGACTCGGTGGTATCATTGTTACGTTCCATATCTCTGATGGCCACCACGAGTTTAGTGAGCACGAATCTTCATACGCTGTTAAACTGGAAATCTATATCCTAAATTTCAACTCGAGACTTTACTGTAAATATGTGGTTAGGATTTCACTGCGTGCTGCATTGCATTTAAAGCATCAACTAAAATTTCAAGCTGCTCCTTGTGCTTCCCCAACATTGTTCTCCCACGGACTGCATTCTATTCTGATCTCACATATGACTTCATTTCATCACGTTCTTCAAGTCATGATTACACATGCAAAGTATTGGGTAACAGTTTGACTTTCTGATCTCCCAAATACTACGCGATATGAGCTTAGTTTCCATAATTTTTTGTTTCAGACAAGTTTCACCCGTGTATCGTGAGTTGTGCAACTTAGCCCAACAAATTGGACGGCCCGATCTGGCCCTCTCGCTAATTGTGTTGGCCATCGCCCCACCTCCAAATGCTCGTCTACTCGCTGCCGGTGGTATACCCGCTGTAGGATGCAGTCTGGCCGCTAGCGTTACCTATGCCGGGTTAATTCGGCGTCTTGGGCGTGCCCTCGCACCAGCTGTTCCTCGTTTGGTCCCCCGAATCTTTGTTCGTCGTTTTGACTATGCCCGTCCGAAGCTGCGCCAGGCGATAGAAAACTTGTGGGTTGGTCTGGCTACGTACGCCTCGAATTCCACTGCGCTTACGGTACCATGTATCACTTCATGTTCCGGCTTAACCTTAAATGGCATGCAGCCCCAAACTACCACCCAACAACAACAACAACAACAATCAGGACCTTGTATTCCGAACTCAGTACATGTGTTGTCCTCGGAAATGGTGAGCTCACATTCTCAATTGCTTCAGAACGCATAATCTCTTGGGTATGCCTACGTTCATGTCCATTGGGCATAAACTATCTTTGATTCCTCTCCAATGCTATTTTTCGCTTTCCCTCAGATTTTTTGTGTCTATTTCACGTCTGTACATACGTTCCTTCTCTTCTTACCCTCATTTAATCATGGTTTCTCAGTTTGAAGCAGAAACCCCTCCCCAGTAAAGTCATTGTGCACTCGGTTTTATTGGCTGAGAAAATAGTACTAGGTGTAGTATATGCATTGCGCAGGCTTTTCACATGCAACAAACTCCGTTGTGTTATTCCTACTGAAGTTGGCGTGTTGGTGCATCCCGATTGCCTGGTTGGGGTCCTAAGGACGGTGAACACGTTTGGTTGGACACTCTTGCTGATATGGCTTGGAGCCGATCCCAATGGCGTTTGTGTTGTGATTTCCTTTGTCCATCCCCCTCCTGTTTAGCATCCCCCTCCAATTACGATCTTACTTGTTAGGCATAACACGAGTTTCTTTTACGGCAGCCAGCTGTTAGCTCTCCGGTACGATGTCCATCCGTTACTGGGGACTCAGCGGGCGTGCCACCGTTTTCCTTTTCTTATCTTTTGTATTGCGGCACACTAGCTGAGGTGTTTTCTACCTCCAGCTAACGTGTAATGATGATGATGACCGTAATGAAACAGGTTTTGAAGTGATATGATAATTTTACGTACCCCGATGGTCCATTGTACTACTCTGTGTGGCAATTTTCGAATACCTTCAGACCCATCTGTGTCCGCAAGCTCATTGGTTAGGGTTCTAGACGCTTGGCTATAGCGTTCCGTTAGGGAAGGTTGGGAGATCAATGACTACATTTCAATCGCCCGCTTGTAGGGGACAACTGTTATAGTGTACTCAGGGTTGGTCATACCAGAAATCCTGCCGGACCTGATACAGTCGCGAAGCTAATGTCGCTGTTGCATATGCTTTTTTGCTCCCGACTTCTAACTCTTCCACCCACCGAATTTAACGTTTCTTTAAGGTTAGCTTTGGAGTACTCGCCGTGTGTTTGGATTGCGACACGCAGTCTCTATTGAAACCATTTCACTTTGAAGTCGACCTCGATCATTCTGATCACCCGGATCGTATCTGAAATGGAGGTGTTTCGGTGTTGCTTCTCTCAACACTGACATCCCATGACCGATTCCGTCCTTATTTGGACTCACATAGAGATAACCTGATATGAGGTGGAATTTGAGGTCTAGTGGTTAGCGACTGACGCCTTGATCTCTACACCGTGTGGCTGGATTGCGACGTGCATTCTCTATTTTGGTATACTTCAAAGTGAACCGAGGTTGGGAGGAGCAACACCGAAATACCTCTACTACCATTTTTATTAGATCGTCCATTCGTGTTCATCTTGCAATAGTTATTATTGTAGTGACGTAAGTTAAGGCAAATGGATATATCGCACTCTGGCCACGGATCGTCGTTGACACAATGAAGCCGCGTGCGATATCTTTGTGCATTTTACACACACTTGCCACCATGCCAGGAAGCATAGTTGAGATGAGGGCAGCCTTGCCAGTCTACTTCAACTTTCTATCTATCTAATGAATTAGACACCTTTGCTTTCACAGATCGAGGCACACTTCAACGCAATCATTTGTGAAATTAAAACTCAACTTGGCTTTAACACGATCAACGTCGGACCCGGAAACCTGTTGCCAAATGTAACCTTGACCTCTTCTGATGCAGCCATTTCTGCTCAATGTGCTGGCTCAAAATCGGTGCGAAACACCGGCACGCAGGATCAGTATCTTCGAGATGCTTGTTGCCTTGCTATTGCAAATTTGACCACGCATCCGGCCGCCGATAAGCGTCTAGCGGGCCATTTACCAGCGCTGTTGTCGGGTCTCCTTGGTCTGTGTGACGAACACAGTTCTCTGGCTAACGGCCCCTCAATTCATCCCCGATCCGAACAGACGGATACTTCACTGGTCACAACACCCTCTGAGGAAGCAGCAATCGCAGTACAAAAGGTGATCCATCTTCCCTCATGTTCGTTAGTAGTCCGTTCATTTCTTTGTATACATCTTTTTCCTTTCATCTTTTACAAAAGATTTGTCTGATCCGACAGAATGAATGGGGTGAACTCATCGCTGTACACTTCAATTTCTTTGCCATGGTGGAAAACAGTTTAATCGTCTCAGAAGTACCCACTTCGGACGCGAGCTTGGTGGTTATTCGCTTTTCCTTGCGTAAAGCTCTCTCACTATGGACAGTACACCATAATAACCATCTTTGAGGTGCAAAGTCAACGGCAAGATATGTAGCTATAGGAGGTGAACTGTTTCGCTTCGATTTACCCCTCGCATCCCAACATCAGAACTGTTTTTTCCTGTACGTACAGTAGTGCCGGGGCGCTGGGCCGGTCACATTGGTTATAAGTGACTAGGTGACATCCATAGTCTTGTACTACATTACCCTTTTTCATTATCAACACTTTTAGCTGAAGCCATTTGACACTGTTGGAGTTTCGCATCGTTATGCCTACTGCCAGATATAAGCTGATTGTGATGCCAATCCACTATCGTTGCTGCGGGGTAACTTCAGGTGTTATTCGATTGCTCACCTCAGTTCTTCATTCTCCTACTTCTTAAATTGTCTCTTCCACCTGGCGCTGAGCATATGGTGTGAGTGCGGCACACGTGGATATGGAACAGTCATGCATCCGATCACCGTGTCTAGACTACCATTTATATAGTAAGAAAGGGGTGGGTGGGGGGTTATCTGAATAGAGCGAAATTCAGTCGCATGCCTCACTGTTTCTTGTTGTTATCTGATTGCTTGCGTCATCGCCCCCTGTGTGGAAACACTCTTTGTGCCGTTTAGGAGCCGTGTGTTGTAACCCTAGTCCACCGGACTCGGATGATTGAAAGTGCTTTTCATTTCCTCGCATACTGGTCATGCTGTCTAATCCCCTGGTATGAATTTCCGATGATACTTTTCCGGCGGCCTATTCAAGTCATTTTGCTTTGCATACTGACCGTACACCCGTGTCCAACTTACGTCCTCCAATCCGTTGTTTTTTCGCGCGGATGTGATGTACTCTCCTCCTTAGACAATTAACGGAGAATATATTCCATAAGTCGCCAAAACGCATCTTACCAAATAAAGGTTGCGCTTTGGAAGAAAAACAAACAGCGTGAACATATCCGTTTTGGCACTTTGAACGTCCGCTTGCTATTTGTAACTATACTGGCCCTTGGTTTTGCAGGGCTGCAGTAGACGTTCCTTCATTCGCCCACAAAAGGCACCGTTGCACCTTTTGCTCGCATGCTTACTACAACTAGAGTTGGCGTTTTATCCGTGTAAGGGGTCATTTGTGATCCATTCCTGGTCAGTCTATTTTCTTATGCTTTGCCGCATAGCAGTTGTGCCTATCATTAACTGCGAGCTCAGGTACTTTAATGTTCATCGCTCAGTTTAGCTTACCAGCATTTATACTCTTTTTGGGGTAAATGCAGAGTAATGTTAGCTTACTTGTTTGAACATCACTTTCCCAACCTTCCCATATTGCAGACGTTAAAAACTTATCGGCACCCATCATCACGGTAAACTGCTTTTTGCCTGCATTCAGCACAATTATGAGGCTATTCCACATTGTCTACAGCAAGGATGACTATATAACCGCTGTTTTTGTTAGCAAAAGCAGTGCCGCTTCAGAGCTTCATCCGACTGTAAATAATTTTCGTTTCTTCCGATTTTAAACCGTTTTTTCTAGCAGTCGTTTTTACCTTTCACTGACGACTTATTTCCACATTACTTACAACCTCCTCCGCCTTTAGCAGGGGTGTCCAAACTTTTCTCAGGGAGGGCCACATTTTGTGAGGTAAATATATGTCAGGCCATATTCAGTCTGACATTAAAATAATAGCAAAAATTACACATGACATAAGTCTTTTATGGAGGGTGAAACTGCGAACTTGAGATCTTTATCTTTTGATTACCCCTTTAGTAGAGGCACTAGATTGACTTCCCTAGTTAGTTAAAAATAAACAGTACATCATTGATTTCTGCCAGCATCTGACGCCATTGAATTTTGTACTCATAACATCCTTAAATTTTTTGTAATCTTTATAATATCATCTGTACGCAACAAATCCAAGGATGCATTTATTATTTCATGACGAGGCCTCGGGTCAGTTGAAATGTGAATATGAGCCGCATTTGGCCCGCGGGCAGGACTTGGGATATTCCTGACCTATGGGAAACGCACAGTTCTCTCGGTATTTCAGCCTTTCGTTCTTGTCGCTTAGCTCTTCCACTCGATCTGCACAATTTCTTTTACCTGTTACACAGTGGAAAAAATATCCCTTGCGTAAACATCGGAAACAAGAGTTAGCGATGAAGCTTGTTTTCGGTGGATCTCACCACAACTGATAGCGAGCGAAAAACGCTAGACAATGGTCAAGTTCAAAGCTCTAGGTTATCTGAATGACAGTACTATGTGGTTGGTTCAGAAGTGGTCAAGGACAAGTCAGTGGCATGTTTCCCAACATAAGTCATTGTGCTAGGCGGTCAATGTAGAGAGAGAATATGGACGAATCGTTCTTACACAAGTCTGGAAGCGCATAGCAATCGCTTCGGTTGTTGCTAGTACGTAGCATCTTACCACTCGTGTGCGTGGCGTCTTGGAGAGCAGCGCAAACCAAATGTGAATGTTCTGCTGTCCCGGCTGGATAAAGTGGCGGGGATCGTCTGGGTGCAGATAGCTGGCTGTACCCACAAGATCTGTATCATTATCAATTATCACTCAAATTTCCGTAAAATGGAGAATGAGAAGGACAAAACAGCCGTTATCGAAAAGGCAGTTACGACGCTTTTAACGCGCTAGAAGCAACAACCTGCGATTGACTGTCACGTTCGAGCACATTAGCCCCACGGGAACGGTGATTCCGAGATTTTACAACGTACCGAAAGTATCTAAGGAGGGGTTTCCCCTTAAACCCATATTAAACATGTGCAACTCAGCGTACCACGTAACTGCCAATCGGATAGCCAAGCTTTTAGAGCCGGTGAGAAAAGTTCTATCCAGACATAACCTCCAAAAGACATTCAGCTTCTTAGACTCCACGAGTTAGCTTAAACTAACCATAAGAAAGATATTTTCGTTGGACGTCGTATCGCTGTTAGTAGAGACACGGTTCGAGCACATCAGTTGGATGTCGACCTTTTGACCGATCGATTGAAACAGCTACTCATGATATGTACTAGCAGCATACAATTTCAGTTTAACGGACAATATACCAAATAAAAGAGCGGAGTAGCAATGGGCTCACCGCTATGGACGCTGTTGACAGGATTGTTCATGAGCAAATTAGAAGACAACTCCCTCAGCGAAACCATTTAACGACCCACCCTACTACTGTTGATACGTGGATGATGTATTTTGTGTGTTACACACATTCACTGTTGCACAGTGGACTTTTTGTTCAATTTCATTAAGCGCACGATAATACTAAGTCCACGAACGAATCTGAACGCGTTGACACGGTATCCTTCATAGACATTCAGAGTACACAGGGAAGCAACGTGGAACGGATTTTCCCACTCAGTCAAAAACGAACCCTGATCAGATGTTTAATCGAAAGGACCAGAAGCATTTGTAACGACGGGCTGAATTTCTTAAGTGTCCTTTTCGATAGAAATGTCTATCCAGGAAAATCTTGTTCTGAGTGCCGAGAAACAAGAGCTAAACAGTGTCGGTCGGAAAGAAACTGGTTTATCTATTGTTACTGTTCAAGGGGGACGGTATAACTTAGGCAACGTATCGGTTATCCGACTTACCAAGTCTATGGTTACGCTTTACTTTAACACCAGTTGTGAGACATCAATTTAGAGACAGACTTTTTCGGTCGAGCACTTCTTTCTGTGTGTACTCTTTCTCTTGTTCTTGTCCGGATAGATATATCGGAAAAATCATTATGAGGCTGCGTGAGTGGATTCGTGAACATTGCGCGGCTTGGTTGTGTAGTACTCTAACGATACAGCGATGAGCACTCTGTTGGCACATTTAGTTCACTCAGTCAGTAAAGTACTTTGTGCACCCAAAACGGGTGAATAGTCAGCCATAAGACACCCACTTTCAGCAATTTAAAAACTGGATTAATAATTAAAGAGAACAAACACCATTGTAGCATAATCCGGTTCATTAATTTTTAGACAATTTCGTATTGGTCTAACAAAAATCGCACTAGGTAAGAGATAACTAACGAACAGTACGCTCGTATTGTTTCTACCCACCCAATTGATGCTTGTCTGTGCTTTCAACCTATTTACACATGAACAGTAAGATGTCGCTTACTAGCAACAGTCGAAACGGTTGTGTGCGCAAAAACTATTCCTCCTCCGGGACAATGTATTGTCCCGGTACCACAATGCCCTATGCTTGGCAACACGCCACTGACTTGTCCTTGACCGCTTCTGAACCAATCACCTAGCTTTGTCATCCAGATAACTTAGATCTTTGAATTTTACTATTGTTTGGTGTTCTTCGCTCACTTTTCCCCACCATTTGTGATGTGTAAGCCTGAGGAGATCCACCGAAAGCAAGCTTGATTGCTAACTTGTATTTCTAGTGCTATTTTTCTCCCTTTAAATTTTATTTTATCTCCTTTTAGTTGTTAATGTCGTTGTTATTATTAATTCAGCTGATCCCTTCATCTAAATGCAGTGGACCCCGTTCCCTTAACTCTCACTCCTCATTAATTGTGATTGTGTTAGTGATTTAAGGGTAACCAAATCAAAATCTTCGAATTTGGGTCGAAATTAGACGGTCAATGGGCATGTATGCCACTGACGACGTTTTGATTGTGCACTATCTGATATGGTAGCGTGACCGATCTATTTGCCTCTTTTTAAAAGATACTGCTCACTAATCTGATTTTGATTTTCGGTTAGTTCTCATGCTCTGGCTTTTCTTCGTCACCTCGTAAGATCGATGTTTCGCCAAACTATGTCACTGGCAAACATCCGTTAGCAGAGCGGCTGGGCAACAGGAATGCGTAGTACATTACTTAGCGTGCGTGAGCGGTCGAATTCCAAAGAACACTCCACACCGTGTCACCGAACCTATCCACTTGTACTTTTATGCGGATCAAACTTTATCGTACCAGAAGCCTCTGGTGGTGGACATCATGTCATCGAACTTCCCTCCTTTCACTAAGATTGTTGTTCAGCCTCAGTCTTGTGCACACTTATCGATGCTTGGGAACTGTAACTTGGAAAAATCTACCGAAGTTTTTCGCTCTTTTATGTAGTCATCGGGGCATGAAAAAGTTGATCACTTCAGGTTAAATTCAACTTCTGATGTGCGTTTTGCGGAGTTTATATCTGAAGCAGGTAGAGCTTTCCTATGCGAAGATTTAGTCCAACCGTTATACTCTATCCGACACAGCTGATGAGCTACACACCTTTTTTCACCACTGAATATGCTTAGTCTCGGGTAGAATTGTACACTCAAATCGCACAACACCGGTTGTTGGAGGTCTAAGATGTCTATGCTCTTAACGGAGATCGTTATACTTAAACGCCGTTATCTTTCAGAAAGCACACAAACTCCCATACCCTGTTGCACTACCGCGGTTCTCCTATCGCACTCCATCATGAGTACCCAGTACTGTCATCGCTGAACAAATTATGCTGATCCTTGCATATCATCTTTTCAGATGCAGTAACGGATAGCTGGTGCTTTTTCATCTCCCGTTCAGGTACTCAATCATCTATCTGTCATACGATGTTACTCTCAAGGAAATCATGCTTCATTTATTCATTCTTTTCTCACGAATTACCTGTGAATTCAAATCATCAGTGTCGATCTACATTCATCCACCTCAGTGTAGCCTCCTAATCATAGTTGAAGTCAAGGCAAAGTTAGGCACCCCGGTAGGTGCATGTTCAGCATGCTACACTATCACTGGGGATGGTGATACATAAAGTAATTAACTGTTTGTAAGAAGAAATGAAACGCGTAAACGTGTCTTTCCATATCACTGGAGCAAATACTATGGCATCCATACGGATAGTTTTGGTTGGGTCAACACGCAACCGGGACAGGTATGGTAGCACAGAATTGCGGTAGGATGCAGTACGTGAAAATAAAATCTTAAATTTGGAGCGGGTAGAGGAAATAGGTTGTGTTTTTTGTCGGTCACAATGTAATGGATGAAGAGGGTTGTTTGGAATTTTGGAGGAAAAACTGGTACAAGCGTCTAGGTGCTTGTTAACCATAAAATCCACAAGGGGCTCTCTAGACAATCCGTTACATCTGAAAACAAGCTTTATGGACCGTGCAATCTGTAAGTAGTCTTTAAGTAACCCAAGGGGAGCAGTATACATGCAGTCACAAATCTAAGATTCAAATCTCACGGGGTACCGAAAGTTCTTTATGTCGAAGAGCATAAAATGACGACCGACTAATCTTACAAAGCGTTTCGGTAACATGGATAGATCAAGGTAAGTTTCGGAATAGAAAAACTCTAAAAGTGTAATGCTTGACGGTTTGGGTAGGAACTAATCACTCACTGCCACTGGAGAAATGGCGTCCAAAACAATCTGTAACTTGTCAGCTCGGAGCAACGAGAATGTTAAATCACGATATTTAGAAGGATTCAAAATCAGGGATCGGGACGAGTACCAAAGCACGATTATCTAGACCATGTTGTATAGTAGAAGATATCCCAACGGATGGAGTTGCGCATCCCTATACAACATCGTCATCATACTTGCATCAAATAAAGGTAGATGGTATGGGGAGTTTTTCAATGTATAAAGAAAATAGAGCGGGTGACAAGATGACCCCCTTTAAAACACCTCGAGTAGAGAACAACGTAGAAGACTTCACTATATTAATCTTTCTGAATTGAGTGTGGTTTGTGAAGTAGTCTTTACCACGCTGCAAACACTTGTTGGAACACCATTTTCAGACAGTTGGTTGAACAGGATTGATCTGTCAAAGCTACCGAAAACATCTGTCTAGTCGAGAAACAGAAGGCGAACTGCCCCGCTTTTTTCACCCAGTGCAGATGCTACAGGATACGCAAGAAATGACACCGCATCCAGTGGGGAGCGGCCATGGTTGTAAACAAACTGGCACTTATCGCCTGCATTGGAGTGTGTGAAAATTTGAATAGCAATTAGTTTCTCGAAGCTCTTCAAACATCACTGACGTACATGCTATTGAACGATACTTTTGAGAGTACTTCTTTGGAACCGGTGTTATCCTAACAAATTTCTAAATGCTAGGGATGGTGCCCTCCATAAGACATCGGTTGAAAATTGCGGTCAGAGGTTCCGCATTGATAATCTACGCAGTGCATTAGGACAAGTGGTGATAATGCATCGGGGCCAGTAGCCTTATTTATCTTCAATATTTTGAGTTCTCAGCAAACACTAAAACTGTCAAAGATGTTGGTGAAGTGGGGCAAAAAATTAATACCTTATTGAGAAGAACCTAATTCAGCGTTCAGTGTCTCGAAAGTCCCTAGAGATCGCGACAATCGTGGGAGCCCAGCACTGTCTCATTGTATAGGCGATTAAATTTTTTTAAATCTTGGATTTCATTGAGCTTGCCATATTCCCATATTAGTTTAGTGTCATCTTCACAGTAATTTGCATGCCCCTGCTGCTATGCCTTTTACTGCTGACCTCATCCCTTCTTCCCATCCTTCTAGGTCACTTGTCCTCACAGTGTTATGTTTGTGCATTTTAATTCCTTTGCGCTATAAAATCTCACCACCATTGTTGATTGAATCCTTTGTAGCTGTTTGATATTTTACATTTACAAAATGCATCACTAATGTCACAAACATCTTACCCTTAATTCTAATCTGTATCTGCGTTCACGTAACTCAGATAGGAAACTATTTACCCGCATGGAAGAATGCAATTCCCCTCTGCTTATTTATTGCGTTTTCTACCGTCGACGTATTTTCTTTGCTCAATTTGGGCACCATTCCAGTCACATTCTCCACTGTTCTTTAGAATTTGTGCATATATCTGTATCTTGTTTGGATGACTCTCGTCATACCACGTTAGGGAATATCTTAGTGGTGCGTACTCATTCCTTCAAACTTGAAAAACCTTTTAACAAGTCATTTCGTTTGTCTCTTTTTCGGCTATAACAGCTTGTCATTCGTGTTCTGGAAAACCCTTGCTCTCGTGAGGCCGCCGCGGGACTCCTACCTGGTCTTCTTCCTGTCATTATTGATCGTGCCCCGTGGACCCTTGGCTCCGTAACGGAACCCAATTCCAATATATCAGGGGACCAAAGCACTCAATCTCAAAGTGAATCACGGCGATTGGCTTTGGAATTGCTACTTGCTGCAGCCCGCACTGCCCGACCCTCTGCTCTGCGCCCCGCGCTTCCCCAACTAGTGTTGGCTGGCCTACAAACAATGTCTTCCGTCCATCCTTCTCTAGTTGCGAGTTTGATGCGTCAATCTATCCATCATCTATATCAACTGTATAGTTCCGCGGGTTACATCTCACCTGGCACACAGTCCTCTGGACTTTCTGCGCCTGCGGCCACTTCAACAAATGGCTCATATTCTTCTAGCGTACCACCTTGTATGAGCAGCAACAGAGAGATTCAAATGGCCGAGGTTTTGAGATTGGTGGGTCAACATGTCCCTTTGGAGGTTTCATCTTTGTTACCGTGACTAAAGCTATTGTGCATAATCACGGATTGTTTGCTTTTGATGCTTTTACTTGATTCGCTTCTGTACCTAACTGTTCACGCACACCTTCTGTTCCTGTGTGTACTTGGCGCCTTCTCTGGCGACTGGTTCACTGTTTCAGCCTATCCAGCATTTACATTAACTTTATAGTCCTCTAGACCAGCCCCCTTAACTTAAATTGACCCATCTACTTATCACTATCACTTCTTCGTCACATTATGCCCGGTTTCTCTTTTTCAGTGCGTCAGGTTGATTGATGACGTCTGCTTGTCTCGTCTCATCGTCCCTTTTACCGAGTTAATTCGCGCCGGTGGTAGTCCCTCCACTGCAACTACTGGGAGTGGCGCTCCAATCTCTGCGGTTCGAGAGTCTGCTGCTGTCGCAACGGCCACCTGTGTATTCATCAGTCATTTGGCTGCGGCTAACATAAGCGCTTTAGCTGCGTCCAATTCTTTCGCACGGAACAATACTTGTCTTCGTTGCTCCTCTTCTGCTCTCGGTCTTCCATTCTTCCCAGATGGAACGGAACAACCATCGGGTGAAAGTCCGAACCTTTCTCCAGGTCATCGGCCACCTCCTCCTGGCTCTGTACAGTCTCCTCCATCGCCAGTGGCTTCCAACTCCCCTTCGGTCCCATCACCCGCTGGATTCCTCGATTCGCTTTCGACTGCGGCTACCTCAACATCTGAAGTAGCAAACTCTGTAGGACACAGATACCGCTTACCTGTTAGTAGTCTAAAGCATGGACCGTCCTCTTTAGCTACACCTTCTGGACCTAATGGATCCGTTGTCAATGGCCGTCCTAGTGTTCCTGGTCCTGGTGGCGGCTTTGCGTCACTCATACCACACACAGGTAAACTTTTGGCTGCCCTACTTTCGGCCCTACCTGGTGCGTGCCGGCATCCCGAGTCCGCTGGAAAGACGGCCCAAATCGAGATGGCTCGTGCGCTAGCCAGCTTGCTGAGGTTCGCCAAGGTGAGCATTATGATTTGCACTATCTGTCGATTGCATTTTACAATCATTGTCCATCACACTGGTTCCTTTGAAACGGACTAACCCTGATTGTGCAGTGAGATGAACGAGCATGTTATTTCCAATGCACCGAAACTCGACACGTCTGGATTAGTCACACTGTCCTCTACTCCCCAAACCCACCTGCTCACTGCAATAGGTCATGTACTGTACGAGCTATTCACTGTACCAATGCTTACATCTCATACATCTTCTGAGCATTGACTCGATTAATCTAGCCTACCAATGGCAAGTGCCATGTCGGTTTGTATGATTACTTGTGTCCTGTCTGCGAGACTGTTGGTTTCTCTGTTCTAAAGTAGCCCTTTGAATAATCAAAGGTCGGTCCAGGCGAGCATATATTCGCTTGGTTCCCTTTTGATATAACTGTTGACTTGGCCCCCACAGACTGACTAACCTATCTATTTATTACTAGGTGTCGAGATTTAGAGCTGTTTGATGTAAAACATGTTTACGATCTTTACATTTTCCTATGTGACCGAAGCACAGCGTCTACGAATTATTATTTTCTTCCTTGACTATCACCATGTTAACTACGTTTTATCTACAGCGAATTCCAGTCTGATTATTCTAGCCCGGTCCCCCTGTACAGTTGTAGATGCCAACAATGGACAATATTAATTTTTTTACTATTCATCGCTATCCGACTGCAGCTATCTAGTTAACGAAGGGAGCTCCACACCCCTACACATCAAGTCCTGATATTACCACTCTCACAATTTGCTTGATATCATATTCACGAGACTAATTCAACGGGTGTGAGCGACACGTCCACGCAGCTTTCTTCACACGTGTAAATCGCGACTCCTCCAGCGGATTAATGAATGTGTTTAGGTTAAAGCAACTAAATTCCAGCCTACTGCTCTCACAACTGCAAGGCAACAGTAGTAGGATCGACGACGTAAGTGTGATGCACAAGTGGTCGGAAACGTGTGGGTAAAAGGATTGTGTGCTAAATGAGCATTGAATCCATCAGCCAGGCTGACAGGCTGGGTCACAGGTGGTCGCCAGTGGCGAACGATATCATCCGGGATGTCGTTCACGAACACGGATGCACGTAGCCGGTTGGAGCTCGGTAATATGTCTATCATGGTGTTACTGCGAAATTGCGGATTGCAATTATTCATAACCATCAAAGCCACATCGATTTAATCCATTTGGTCCATTATGATTGACTAAATCGGTCAAGTTGCCTTATTCCTTATGCACACTGGAACAGCTCGTCACCTCTGACACTTTTGATGTCTCATACGTCGTACTCCGCTAATATGTTCGTAGCTCTCGTTATCCCGTCGAACACGCCTGTTTGTTATCATGCTCTAGTGTTACTGCGGTGAAAGAACAACATGGTGATTGAACTTAATCACTGCGCCTTTTCGTACATGAAGTTGGTGCGATCTGCCCATTGATCTTCACTTCCTTCTCACTTGAGCTATTGTTTATAATTCTTTCGACGCCGAAGCACGTAGTTATATGGTTGCCGTTCATGAAACCAGCATCCTGGCCACAACCTACTTCGTGTCAGCTTTTTTAACTAATCTTTTTTATCACACCATAGCCATGCTAAGCCTTTTTATTTTGGCGCGGTGCACATACGCCATTTATTTCTCCGGTCTGCGGTATTGTCTCTGGCCTTACTCATCTCCCCGCTATTTTTACCCGTGTACGACAGAGCACGAGCGTTGCCAAGCTCTTCAATCGCGTCCGTTCTTGGTACATTAATCCTGAGCCGGCTACCTGTTCCAACGATTCCTCGTCCGTGTCAACTAGCCATTGGGCTTGCGCTCGGGTTATGCACGCCGTTGCTCACCAGTGTCCAGAGCTACTCTTCGTTCACGCTGGTGTCACCCTCCCTCTCATCTTTCTCAACCGTCAGGTTAGTTTAGAATTATCGACGACTATGCTTTCTTTTTGTTAGTTTCGCGATGTTTCATGGTACCAAAACTTTGTTGTTTTTTAGTGTTATGTGATTCATTGACTGTGTTGAGCGCAGCGTCAATCACCGAAGATCGCTTGTGTAAAATGGTACTACTTTTTACCATCCAACTTTTCCTTTTGATCTAGTCGATGTTCCGCATCACTCAATATCAGTGTAACCCAAACCCTTGTTTTTCTTTTTCATCCTTACAGCCCGACACTGAGGGAACCAACGCAATTTTTTCTCAACTGGACTATGCGGCCACCCAATCGGTTGTCCTACCCGCTTGTGACTCGACTCGCGATTGCAACGATCCCAACAACAATGCTACACACCCATCTGCTACGCAAGTTGAAATTCCTGGCGAATCGGCATCTATTCAACAACTTTGGCAAGAGACATGGGAACAGCTGATGTCTAAAATTCCCCCATCCTCCTGTTCGTTTCCGGCTTTGTGGCCAACTTCAACGCTGCAGCTATTTGTGCCTTCTGTATGTGGTCTAGTGACCAGTTTCTTGCGACCTCCTTTGTTAGATCACTGCATCCACTTACTGCAAGACGCCCTGCTGGACTGTTCTAGCTCGTCTGTTCGCACACAAGCTGCGATGGCAATTCTTCATCTTGCTGCCCGTCTTATCGGTCAGCCTATCCCAACCACGACTCAGTCAGCATACATGCCAAGAAGAATCAAAAGCCATCCCAGTCGGCTAATAAAAGATGCGAACAGAGAGACATTACCCTCCACTGGTTCTAATCGTGGACACATGCAGTCAGATGCGGCCACATTTTGCGTCCCTACGACAACTACTTCCGAAGACTTGGGGAAAAATTCAACCACAAAACAGTACAGTTCTTCCTCCGACAAGGATGAGGAGAGCGAAATTGACGGAGCGGGGGATGAGGACAATGATGCCTTCGTTAGGGATGACGATGGGGAAGAATGGGCGTATCAGGCTTGGGCTTCTCTAATCCAGCTTACTGCACGAGTCCTGAGTAAAAGTAAACCCTGGCCGGATAAGGTAATTTTTATGATTCACCATTTTCCTTGTCCATGTTCGCGCGTATGGCTCACACTATACTCCTTGTTTATCTGTCATTTACTGCTGAACTTTGGTTCATCGACACTTGCATGTTAGAAGATATAGACTATGACGATGTGATTGATGAATCTTCTATAGATCCAAACACCAATCATTCTAACAGATACTATTCACTAGTCTATCATTAGAATGTTCTCAAGTGTCACAAATGCGCTACAAATAGCACGACCTTCGACTAACTTTACTCCTTAAGCATCTGTGGCCTTTACCCTAGTCACGTCTTCTTGAACCTCTCAGAATCAGTGACTATAATAAACCCTCTATTACAGATGCGTGGATATGTATTTAATTTTCCAAGTTAGGTCAGGTGGAATGGCATTTTACTCATGTTCACTTCTCCCGATATGCCGGTGATCGGTTGGTATGGGGCGTCTACCTTACAGAAGTCGCCGATTCGAATCTGAGTAGATGTGAACGACGCTGCACTGTACCTAGCCCTTGCACGACTGGTGGTAGTGGTCCCGTGGTAGCGTATTGTCGCTACAGCGCACCGGTTTTCCCCGAAACCCACTGGCTAACTTGGATTTCGATTGTCGTACAGATGATACATCCTTAGCTGGCCCCAGTAACTTTTGCTCCGCTCACATTACATACCTGACTTTTGTTGTCAACGGGAGTAGCGGCGGCGACGGCAGTACCAACGTAATCACCACTGTCACCAAATACACATTGCCTTGAACCCACCTTTCCAACACCGCATCTTGGTTTATCAATCACTCGTGATCACTTGCGAATGATTACATCGGAGGTGACACTCCATTCTACCCAACTGGTCGGCACCTGCGAAGCAAATTCCATTTATTATTGAGTCTTGGGGTACCCGCCATGTGTCTGAATTGCGACACGCAATCTCGATTGAGACTACAGTTTGCTTTGAAGCAAACCTATGCCATTACGATCACTGAGACCGCATCTGAAGTGGAAAGTTTCGGAGTTGCTCTATCCCAAAACTACACTCCACGACCGACCGGTTTCTTCCTGATTTGGACTCGTCAGGTAGAGATAACTTGAGCTAAGAGGGAACCCAACACAGTGACTGATGGCTTTCATTTTGGTCACATTCAAATTAGCACAAAACCGGTCGGTCGTGGAGTGCAGTTTGGGGAGACAGCATCTCCGAACTGCTCCAATCAAAATTACTTTTCCTTTTCGTTGTTCCTTTTTGTATCCAAACTCGCTCTGTGCACGACTCAGTGGGAAAACATGCGAATGGGAATGCAACTACACTCGCAATGAGAAATACCTGTCCATAGGTGTTAAAGTGCCGTAAAAGGACATTATCTTGGGTTAAATTGTTGAACGTTCTCAAGAAAACACCTTTTAGCATAGAATTAGTTGGATACTTCAACTGATACTTACACGGTTTTGATCGGGTGCAGCTTAGGAACAGGGAATGGATATGCCCCACACATGCTTGACCTAGTGCACCTAGTTCGGTCTAATTCTGCTATCTTCTGCACATTTCGCCACTTCAAATGTGGCTCCATCCTCTTGCACGAAATTCACTTGGTAGCTATCACAGGTGTCAGGTTCTCATACCTAAGCGATAAAGCCACTCACAATAACGGAACTATCGCGATCACTTCCTTGATTCTAAGTGATACGGGCATTGATCGTGCCACATCCATCCACTGCTATTCAGTCGGAAAGGCTACTGCCTAGGAGCGGATGTATCATCATTTACATCTGAGCAACATAAAGCTATGAACTGCATTACCGAGAATTCCCACCAGAACTGGATCAATTCCACAACTGTGTTTAATCGAAACATAACGTCGGGTAATCTTTTTGTCGTGTCTGTCAAGGTAAACGGACAACCTGTGGACTTTGAAATTGATACCGGTTCCGCAGTTATCGTGATACGACCGGATGCCTTATCACAACGCCCAAAGTGAAATCCACCAAATATTCACTTGCGATCTTAGACGGGGCAGATGGTGAAATTGCTGGGCACTCATCTCCCACCATAATTCAACGAATCATATGTGTGCCTACGTTTCTAGAAGACCTGGCCCAAACATACTTGGTCGCGACGGAATTAGACGTCTTCCCAGCACCATGCCCAACGTCAACTTAGTGAAAACCCATGCACAGTTATCTGATATCTTGCAGAAACATGCGGTTTTGTTCGATGAGTCTAGACAAGGCCTTTTGAAAAATTACGCCGCTCATCTAGTGTTGAAACCACAGGCGATGCTGAGGTTTTGGAAAGCTCGACCTGTTCCCTACCCTCTTCATGATAAAATCGAAAGTTTCGCCGACTTCATCTGGAAGGTACAATTGAATCTGTTCTATATTCGGACTGGGCAACCCCTGTAGTGCCAGTACTTAAGAGCGATGATGCCATAAGAATCTGTGGGACTACAAAGTTACGATCAACCAGGCATTACAGCTAGATAGATATCCGCGTCTAAAGATTGAAGTCATTTATGCTTCTCTCTCTCCTGTGACGAGCTTTTTATCAAACTAGATCTGAGCCACGCCTACCAACAAATTGAACTCGATGAGGAATCGTGTGCATACACCACCAGTAGAACTCACCTTGGATTGTTCCGCTATACACGCATGCCATTTGGGCTTAATTCGGCCCGGACTATCTTTCAGCCTAGTATTGACACAATTGTAAAGGACATATCAAATTAGTGTGCATACTTAGATGACATCCTGATTACTGGACCTACTATCACTGAACACTTGCATACTTTAGATGTTGTTCTGGAACGATTATCAGAGGCCTGGTTGGTTTTAAAAAAGAAGAAAAGTTTGAATTTCTTGTGCCTAGTGTACAATAGCTTGGGTATCGGTTATCACGAGAAGGATTGTGCCCATTCAAAGAAAAAACAAGAGCTCTACTTGAAGCGCCAACACCCAACAATGTTCACGAACTGCGGTCATTCTTGGGTGCCGTTACCCAGTTTTCAAGGTTCATACCGTCAGCAGCAACACATCTACATCCGCTTCATCAACTCTTACGTAAAAACCAAACTTGGAATCGGAAAAGGACTCATGAAAATGCGTTCACGGCGGTTAAAAAGTTTCTGCCATCAGCGGATGTTCCTGTGCATTATGACCCGCAAAAGCCTGTTATTCTCTCTTGTGATACTTCACCATACGGTTTTGGAACTGTTTTACTTCAAGAATTACTGGTGGGATACCAGCGACCCATTGCCTACGTCTCAAAAACACTGGCAGCAGCAGAACGAAATTACTCGCAGCTTGATCCAGAGCCGGGAGCTCTGGTCTTCGCTACTACCCGATTTCACCAATATTTACTTGGTCGGCCCTTCGTGATATTTACGAATCATAGACCTCTTGTTTCCCTCCTTGGCCAAGAGAAGAGGATTCAACAAATGTCTTCACCCAGAGTGATTCGTTGATCCCTCATTCTCTCTGCATATATATATATATATATATATATATATATATATATATATATATATATATATATATATATATATATATATATATATATATATATATATATCCAGTACGTTCTCGGTCGGAAAAATACCACCCCAGCTCAGGCTATCTACAACTGACGGGTCCAAAGCTGGACGAAACCGCGATCGTGGTTTGCCAGTGTTGGGAAGATCAACACCCAAATATTTGCACCACAGCTAAATGTTTTTAGTCGACTTGCTTTACCATAAATACCTTCGGAGTTCACTTCACAAGAGCTTGTAAACTTGGTTCAGCATCTCAATGATTCCCTGGTCACATCAACGGACATACATCATGAAACTGATGGAGATCCAGTTTTATCGCTGGTGAAACGCTACGCTCATGCATTTCCGTATTAAGATGTATAAGCTCTGCCTCCAGAACGTGTGTGGGGCGCACGAGTTGGAGTCCCCAAAAGATCTCGGTCACGTATCCTGGATGAACTACATGATGCACACCCAGGAGTTGCCAAAATGAAGTCACTAGCTCACTTTTATGTGTGGTTGCCCGAATTAGACGATTACATCGCAACGAAGGTTGGAGGTTACCCATATGATTGTACAGGTCTGATGAGGAATTCATCGAAAACAATTGTTTACCTTCGGTCCCTTGTTCTTGATGGTTACAGCCTCTGTCAGGAAAACCGAAACGCTGCCCCCCATGCGCCATTGCAGCCTTGGAGATGGCCAGAAACACCCGAGAGACGCGTCCACCTAGATGTTTTTGGTCCTTTTGAGGATCAGATGATTTTATTGATCGTTGACGCCCATTCTAAGTGGATTGAAGCCCACATTCTGGCCCCAGCAACTTCAGCTATCACCATAATTGAACCGCGCACAACGTTCGCTACCTTTTTTCTCCCCGAAACACTAGTGTCTGGCAATGGACCAGCGTTTTCCAGTGCCAAGTTTTCTACGCTCGAACGCCGTTAGACACATAACTACTGTACCTTAACATCCATCCTCCAACAGGTTGGCAGAGAGGGCGGTACAGACAGTGAAAAATTTGCTAACAAAACAACCAAATGCTCCACTACGTGTGCGTTTGGATCGTTCCCTGTTCGCGTACCGGAACATGCCAAACGAGACAACCGGTAGAAGCCCGGCAGAGTTAATGTTCGGTCGACGCTTGCGTACACGGTTAGATTTACTGCATGGGACCATTGAGTCACAAGTTACTGAAAGGCAACAACAGGCGAAGGAACATTTTGTTAATTGCAGCAGGGACCGAAATGTGACAGAGTCAGATAGACTCTGAGTGGGAGCCGGCTGTTGTAAAAACAACCAACGGACAGATCGTAGAAGCAGAAATTAAGGATGGCCGGATCATGAGTCGTCATTTGGACCACGTGCGGCCAAGACTGTCGAACCGAGAAACAAGTGCTGAACCAGATCTGTCATTCCAATCACCGACCGATATGCAGATGACTGACGCACAATCAGTAACTGAACCTTTGTTACGTCGTTCTAATCGTCAACGGCGACCAGTCGAGCGCTTCCAGGCCGGTTAGCCCGAACCAAAGAGAGGAGGGATGATACGGACATTAGTCGTGCCACATCCACCCACTGCTATTCAGTCGGAAAGCCTGCTGCGTAGGAACGCACGTGTCTGTGTGCCCACGTGTTTTTATGCCAACCAAACCATTGATTTGCTTCGAACCGGAACTCCTTCTCGCGTTCATGCGAATCATGTTGCAAATAGTTTTTACGTGCTCATGTGCTGAGTAGAGTGTACCGCTTCACGCTTGCTACTAAAGTTTTCCTACTACCATGGCAGTGTTCTGATTTCGCTTAGGTGTAACACTAAGACCACTTTTGGTTCTGTCTGTGGCTCATGCTATTCAGAACCCACTATTCAGTGTTCCAAAAGACAAGATGACTATGGGCTCTCATTTGCACTTATCAACTTTTTTCTTTCAACTTCTGATTGTAATGATGGTGAGTGGCCTACCTATTTCTTCTTAAATGGAAGTTCTACTCTGCTACAAATTGCTGACTTTGCTGTATAGAAACGGCACAGACCACGGAGTATTATTACTTTCCGTGTGAGTATCTCAAGCTTTGTTAGGTGCGCCGTGTCCAAAAAACCTAATATGCTATTACAGGCTGCGGTCGACACATCACTGTTTCTCACTCAGTACGAGTTGTCCAGCGATATGCTTATCCCATCGGATATATCACCTCTGTTGGACAAACCACAGAAGGGGCTACAGCGTATATCGCTAAGGCCAACACGATTTTTCAGGACTGCAGTCGCTCAAGGGTTACATATCTAAGGTAGGATGTAAAACGTAGACGTGCGGCAAGTGTCCCTGTGAATCTCAATAACTTAAACTCTGTTTGCTGGTGACGTTTTGAAACGGACAATTCTCGATTATCAGTATCCTCGATGCACCACTTATAACCATCGAAACTACCGAGTGAGCGCTGCCTTAGTTCACCATTTCTTGTGTGGATCCCAGTCTTTTTGCGTCACTCGTCACACTTGGATTGTGATCCCAGTCATATTATTCTCCTTGCATGCCTAAAGGTCTGTTTTTATATCTATATTACTGCAGATACGTAAGGATGCTAGCTGATCGTCTGATCAGCTAGAAAAAAGCACAAAGAAATCAGCCGACTGCACACCTCGCGTTTGTGCGTGCTTTCCCCTATCGATGATTACTGGTGTGATCCAACCTGTGCGCCCATACTTTCAGGCGCCTGCTTCTAGTCACTAGTCCCTCTACTCATCGATCCCACTCTTTCCTAGTCCTTATTGCTTTTCCTTTTTCGCGTTATCAACTTCGACTACACAACATTGCTCGGAACATGCTTGACCACTTGCGACCACTTGAAACGAACTATAGATTTTGGATCTCATGGGATTCATTGAAAATAAGAAAATTGGCTTTGTCGACACCAAGCACCTTTGGGGAATCATCTGCGTGGAAAAGCGGTGATCCTTTGTGAAACGTGAATTGATCAAGCAAGCGATTCTTATCAAGGAATGAGACATAGCTAAAGCTTTACTTGCTAATACTAGTTTAACAAATCAAAGACAGGACTGTAATACAGGTGCCAACCTGTAGATCGGTATGGAAACATTTCCACTATGAGCGCCTACATTGCTGGTTGTGCATTGGGACGAACGAGACACGATCAAATTGCGTACTCGAAACATCCCTTTGACTTCATCGCATCACCCAAATATATCGCTTTTGTATGGCTTAACCAGTGAGCATATACTGGCTACAACGAGGGAATCCTGTCGAACCGGTTCACTTTACAATAACGCGAATTGTTCTGCTAGTATTTGACATATGGACGCTCATACCACATGGTTATATTGCACGGGAAATTTTGTACTCTTGCTCGAGTTTGCAAATAAACCGTTTCATTTTGATCTATCGCTCAAATTTGGCGCGCTTTCTTTACCAGCATTTTAGACTTGTTTTCTATTGTCCCTGCCTATAGTCCTCTGCATTGCTTTCTGCAGGCTTGTCTTCTGAGAGCTACTCGTCTCCTAGCCGTTTACGCCCGTGAGCGCGGACTCGCGACAGAGGAGGCAAACGAAGAAATCGTGCATCAGGTAGGTGTATAATTAAGTACTGACAATCAGCGTCCCACTTCGAGCGTTTAAACAAGTTCTATAGAGGTTAGCGTCGTTTCATGGTCTTATATTTTGTGGTTGCGTTTTATTATTTGGTACTTCCATACGCCCCATTATGGATTCATACCCTGCACTTTGACTGTTCACTTTCACAATCGTGCATTTCCAACTGGAACCAATTCTGTTGTTTTGGAACATTCGCAAATCTCCGGTGTTTGATACGATTGCCACTTCCTTACCCACTCCTAAAACCTAGTATACGTAGTCAAATACTGCGATCTCTCTTTCACTTTGGAGACACTGACGGTTTCACTAGTCACAACTTCTCTTTTTTCCAGCTGTGGTGTTCCCTTGTTCACGAGACAAAGATGAAACCGTCTGAAGGCATTAGTTCTGGTTATCGGGCTGAAGCGTTTTTGTCCTTGGCTTCTTTGGCCGAAGCTTCCGGCAAAAATCTCTTGCTCGACAGTGAACTTTTGACCGTTGATGGAGACGAGGAGAAATCATCGGATTGTTTACTCAGCCTTTCACGCCTAATAGCACCCAACTGGTTAAAGCAAGACAAATGCTCCGGTCAGTCTAAAAGTGCTACGGTAAGAACGTTTCCCTTGTGTGCTATATTCTGTTCACTCTCTTACAAATCGACTATATGTCAATGACCACCGTTTCAAAAACTTCGGCCCAGTGCAATGTTAGAGACGATGACTCAATTGTTTCCGATCATTTGATCATCTGTGCCACGGTGGATATCAGCAGTGGCAGTATTAAACAGTTCATCCTCGTCACCACCTTGCATAGGACAGGGGATTCCTCAGCAACGGTTTCCAAAACTTGGTCCGCAAATTGGCCGATGGCGTTATTAGCAGTATGGACAATGTAGTGGCGTGGTCAGTGATTGATGCCACGTTAGTTCATAGTTGTTTTGTGTCCCACTTAACGGTTCATATTGGCGCACCTCGTTTACTATCTGCTGCTGATGGTCACTTCATAAATCGAGCTCAGATTTACTCAGGGGTCAGATGGAATGCGTACTGCTGACGGTTCCCGAAAGGATGAAACGGCCGTATGTTGCTTTTCCGGACGTGTGATGGCTGTCTTACTGAAGCTAGATGTGATGAATTTTCACTTATACCACTCAAATTTTCTTACTACTTTTTTGTAATCAGCACGCAAACCAAACTGCTTATAATGCCATGAGCTAACTGGCGGCTTAGGTTCGGTAAGTTCGCCGCTTGGTGAGGGGGATACTCTTTTCTCTGCACGGCAGTAACCTGCAAGGCAGTGGATAGTGAGCCGCGCTTTGCCCTACATCAAGAACGTATCGGAAATGACTGCTCGACTCCTCAAGCCTTACCACCTGTTGTTAGCTCACATACCAACCGTTACTCTGAAATCAACCCTACCTAGACCGAGGGGGAAGACCGGAGCACGTTGTCTACAGGGTACAGTGTAAATTGTGATAAACACTATATAGACCAAACAGGGAGAAAGTTATCTACAAGGTTAAAAGGACATAAGTGAGCCTTTTGAAACCATTACTCATCATCATTGGTCTCGATACACTTTGACGAAGAAGGGCAGATGTTTGATTGACAGAAGATGGAGGTTCTAGTGCAGGGAGAGGCAAGAAGAGGATAAGAATTTCTCAAAGCATGGTTCTCTACGGAGAACTCGATAAATATGCGCATTGACTTAGACCCGATCTACCATCAACTGCGGGTCATTCACCACATGAGTCTAGGCGGCGATCGGACTGAACACTAGCAATGGTCACGGGACGTGAATCGAAGTGGCCAAATCCAAACATCACTCTCTCATCGGTCAATTTTTGCTTAGTACACCCTGACGAAGTCACCTCAATTGGTGATAAAATGTCTGCAACAACAACTTCGGCACGGAGAATAAACCTAATTTTGAACAGACAACTTGAGGTACAGGTATGCCGGTTTACTGCTAATCGCATCTAACAACTTAATTACGGTTGTTGCCGTCCCCCGCAGCTCGGTGGTCTTAAACACAGACTTATGACAGTTTAGTTGTGGGTTCTAACCCCATAGCGGTCACATGGAATGCGCACTGCTAGCGATTCCCGAAAGGATAAAACTGCCGTCCGGTGTTCTTCCAAATGTACAGTGGCTGTCTGACAGCCTAGATGTGGTGAATTTCCACCTATACTATTCAAGGATAGTTGATAACAGGTTTCACTCTACCTTTGGATACGAATTTTCCTAACTTCGCCACTTACGTAAACACTGCTTTCTCAATGAGCCTTATTCGCAAAATATCATTTTAGATTAATCCTGAACTGAACGATTCTGAGCTCGAGTTGGCTGTACGTGCATTGGGTATCCTATGGCCTGCTGGAGGCGCTGATGAACACTGTGAGTTTGAATGTTTCGTTAATTTTTGGAAGCGATTGTCGCTGCATCCATTTTTGAAGTAGACTTGTGGTGTATTGGTTCAGGAGGTTGGCTCGCAATCTTTACGCCCCAGGTCCGAGTCCACTCTCTCCTTCTTGAATTTGGGCATCGCTGGAATGTCTTGGCCTGCGTACAATCGAGTTCGGAGTGTGTATTGCTCACCAGGGAAGCCGGATCCAGGCCGTAGAAATATGTAGGACAACCTACTGTCTGCGTCGCATCCGAAGCCCATGAACTAGCGCGTAGGCTAAAAAACGTTATAGACTGCTATATTCTTGATACAGTTAATTTAGACAAAGCAAAAACAACCCTGCTGAGTGCTCGCAGCATGTTTGATGTCGAGTACAAATATATACGTCTGAGGGAACAAACACCGAAACTGTGTTGGCCGATATTTTGCGAATTTTCTAGTGAAGAATCTACGACAGATTCGTGCTGCGTTGACTTACCATAGTTCAACGTACTTAATTCAAAGATGTAGTGATTAAACGTGATCTGGCACTTCTGCAAAGGTCTCTTCCTGGGTCCACACCACAAACGTTAATAGCAGAAATATCATGCAATCCGGTATCGGGAATGAAGACACGGGAAGCAGACCAAACCGATAGAGCCGCCAGCTGTGTCGACTTGGACCTTGACAACACACATACTGAGATGGTGATTTCGAGTGTCTCCTGATCCCATCACTACACTGTTAAGCAAAAGAGCTACCACATATGCTCCGATCAATGAGTTCACCAGACCGAATGTCTCATAAATCACATCTTCACTAAGACCCCAGAGTAAGAAACTAACATTTGTAAATGGCCCTATTACCAGGACAATGATCGGCAGTGCAAAACAAACCACATTCCCAAGTGAGCAACGAACTGTTGCAAACACAATACTGTCACCGGCGGACGAATCAATCAATAGAACGACCGATGCCTGCAAAGGTCTCTAATTCTGAGACCACCAAACACATGCAATGCTTCTTTTGAAAAGAACCATCGCCGCCGAATTGTTACCCATATCCCAAACTGATTGAAACTAGAAAGAATTATCTATTGGACAATCTTGTTATTCTATTCAAGCGTTCTTCCAAAATAGTCAAAAATGATAATATAAGAAATAACTTGCCAACTCTGCCCTGTATCCCATCCCATACACACAACGATAATCATGAATCAACAGTTTCGGGTAGTCATTTTTAAGGGGAGCTGGAGTGGTTTCACAACCATTCCAACGTTGGTACATCCGACAGAATCCAACTACATGGTCCCACTCTTTATCAATTTGTCCAGATGGCAACGATGGCCCAATACCAGACCTGTCACAAGTTTAACCAAATGCCTCAGCGCATTCCTTACTTCAAATTATTCCAGAGTTCACAAGGGATAAATTCTCCCTACTCCCTAACTTACTAGCCGTGGACACAATAGCGTCATCTTCATCTCCATACCCACTTTCTCTTCCCATAGCTATATAATCGAATACTTTCGATAATCCAGAACCAGATATCGCAGGACCCTCGTCAACAAAAGCAGATACAATATCGTTATCAATGGATAGCCCTGTATTCTTTCAATAAATAGTGAACCTGCCCCATCAATCGTTTTCCAGGCTCATTTTGCTGCTTAATGCACGCTCCATTAACAACAAAATCTACTTCCTACGCTCACTGATGCACAAATCATACTTGTGACAGAAACGTGTGGTCAATGGATTCCTGAGTATACCTAGCACATAATGGATTATAAGGCCTTTGTTGGTTCTCGTAAATCCAAGCTAAAAGACAGTTGCGCCATATGTACACCATATCGTGTGTGTGCATCAACGGCAAATGTTCCCTCACATAACTGCTTTGACGACTATCTTTCTAAATGCACAAGCTGATAACCACATGTTGGTCATCGGTTATGTATACACTCAATTTCCAGTGTCGCAGAAATTAATCCGCTACAATGTATGGTTTGGTATATAGTCTAGGTGGGGACTTGAACATGTCATAGTTAGCGTGGACCTCAATCTATGTATATGTCAAATACACGAACCTGATCTCTTCTCCACATCCATACGGATGAATTCAACATATCAGATCTCCAACTAGAATGGTTCATATCTTGGACCTAATATTGGCATATTATCAGCGCATCTGCCGATGTGCTAGAGTAGTAGTGTTTTTTCATTCAGTATTCCCACATGATACCAAACATTGACTATGCCCAAATAACGAATACATGGCAGGAAATACAAAGTCATCGGTTGGAGTCTGTTTGCTCAGTGGGTCCTCACAAGCTGCAGCATTAATGTTTGCTACAACAGCATTAGTGTATGTATTGATGATACACTCGCTCCCACTATGCATCGACACTTTCCTCAACGAAACAAAACGCATATGTCGCGTAAAACAGCGGTGCGGCTCAGAAACTTTCTAACGGCATACCGTATAACAGATGACTTCCCCGTTTTGGTACAACACAAAAAGTTGACGGCGGCTCTACAGTTTGCACGTCACATCAGACAGATCACCGATGAGCCCACTGCAGCCAGTATAGAGACCGTGAACCAAGCAACCTTTTAAAGTGCAAAAATACCAAACGGAATCAAAGCACGATCACACTGGTTGCATCCGAAATCCGCATACTAACTGACCAGTGAAATATTCACTCAGTAATTCTGCGCCTTCTTTAATGTTGATAATAACCTTCTATAAACACCACCATCGACAGTTGATCGACTCACACTTGCAAAGTTTAAACTCCTTGATGTACACAAGATTATTTAATGCACAAAACTATCCTAATTCAGCGGACCAGAAAATGTACCTCCCCTGCTTATCAAACTCGGGGGTGTCGCCGTACCCTTGTTATTGTTGAATGCGTTCAGTATATCTATGAACTCTGGCACTGTACCAACACAGTGAAAGGAAGCCATTGTCATACCGCGACACAAATAACACTCCCTGTTCGAAATAAAGCATTTTCGCCCAATAAATCGTACATTTATTCTATCAAAGTGATGGAGCGTCATAAAGGCTGCGACGGTCAACTTCCTACTGTCTCGAAAGTTAATCGGCGACTCTGAGCACGGTTTTCTGAATGCTCGTCAACCTAGATGCTTCACACGATAACGGCATATCTGCAACGGTTGTTTACCTCGACACGTACAGTTTTTGATCATGTGCCACACAGAAAACTAGTATACAAGATCATGTCGTATGGAATTGGGAAACCCCTGCTTTCGTGGTTCAAATCGTATCTTACACATCGAACGCACCTGGTACAGATTCAGGAGCACAAATCTGAACCAACAGCAGTCACAAGTGGTGTAGTACGTGGTAGTGTCTTTGGTCTTCTCTTGTTCTTGATGTACACGATATATTTTGACGCATCGAAATTCGGAACACTATAAGTTTTTGCAGACCATATTTAAACTGTTTACACTTTTCACCCTATCAACATAAACGAAGCTACCATCATGATGCAGTTCGAACTCCAAGCACTCGGAATCTGGTGCTCAAAGCGGGGAATGTTATGTACAACAAATGCGAAGTAACACCTAGCCACTTAATATATGCCAAACTGTTCGGGACTTAGGACTGAGATGCTCAGGCTCACTCAGATTCTCTGAACAGGTAGCCTACGTCGCTTCATAGGCCAGATAAACCATTGGAATGTTATTTAGAACTTTCAAGGTAAAAAATTCCATACTGTGCGCTTATTCATCACTTTCACGTCCCCTATTGGGATACTACTCAATGGTGTACAGTAGCACAAACATACGCGACCGCATGATACTAGAAAATGTACAACGAAAATTCTCAAAGCGCTCAGTATCTGCCTTCTCAAAATTACAATATTTCAGACGATGTGTGGAACTCATACTTGATCGCCTCTGGTTGAGGCGCATGAAGCACAACTTATTTGTCGTAATTGCCCTTCGCGAAACCAAGACTGTGTAGGCCTCAACCAACGTCCTATGTTATAGAAAAACAAACTCATACCTCGCGTCAGTTAGAGCCACTCACAAATTGGATTATTTCATTCGGTCGATCCTTTAGTGGGGATTACATAATTACTGTTCTCGACAGTCCAGATCAATTCTTCACTTGCTGTTATCTATTTGGATCTACCGACGCGAGCAGACAAAGGGTCGGCCCAAGGCCACTATTGCTCCCTCGACAGCCATCACCACATCCTCCTTTTTCATAGTTCTTGTGTCCAGTTTCTACATCTTCATCCACTGCGGGTAAGCTTCTGGTCCAACGGAATGGCAATCACAGTTAGCTCGGGTTGCATTAGAAAAGTTGCAGGCAACAACTTCCTTCGTTTGCGACTGCAAGCACGCTAAATTGAACTTGTCCTGATCGCGATAGAAAACGCGTTTCTTCCTTCTAGTACCATGAGGCGAGGACCCTCATGCCTCTCTTTGACTTTGATAAGTCCTTTCTTTGTTTTACTGACAGTTTTCCCTTTTGACTGCAGCATCGACCTGTTCGACCTTTTGAAGCAACTGCACTCTACTCCGATGCAGTTTTTCGCTAGTAGCATGTGGTCAGTGACTTTGATCAATGTATGGTGACGTTAGTCGCTCTTGCGTGAACGGCGTTGGAAAGACGTACTCCTGTTCTCCAAGGCGCTGTGAGTGATTTATCGTGGGATCCTGCGTCGCTTGCTGACTTTCGCTGTCCACTACACAGGCATCGACCGACCGTCTGCAACTAGCGAAAGGTTTATTCGACCATCATAATCGTTCTCGACTCTCTTGATCATTTGCAAAAGATAAACTTTATGATCGTCACAGAAATTCCACGCCTTCATTGTATCCCACGCTTCATGATCAATAGCGCATTGGAACATGACCACCTGGCATGGCGTCGGACATTCATCCAATTGCATCAACGCTGTGAAGCCCATCCACTTCGCTTCTCAGACTCTGCAATTTTCCGGCAATGTGCTTTGTGTCATCTGTAGAGGTTG